TTTCCTCTGCATTGAGTCATAGTGAGCCCAGTTTCAGGTTTGCTTTCAGAAAAGCTAGAAAATGTTTAGTGGTTGATAGATTTTATTCTCTGCAAAGAATTAAAAAGTTAAAACTGTGCAGCCTTGCTTCTGACTTCTGTCCCTTCTCCAAGGTGGACGTATACCTAGCTGCTTCTAAAAATAGTAATAAAATTATCTTAATGCAGTTATTATAGTTTACATTAGCTGAAACTTGATTGTGTTTCAGAATGTTCACTTCTCTGGGCTTATATCAAAAGTTTTCATTACTGAATGAGGTTTTATTGCATAATAATATAGAAGATTATAAAGTTTTATAAATTCTTATTTTGTCAAGTTTATTTTCATAATGCAAAAGGAGCTCCTGTAAACTTGGTGAATCGGTGGTTTATCATATAAAGAGAGGAATCCGGTTACATATGATTAGTATAAAGCCATCTACCTTTCTGTGAACCTACAGGGAAGGCTTTTCATAACTTTTTTATTTGAATCAAACCTAAAACAGCACAGATTGTTATTCTCTTCCCTTCCCCCCAGAGATTTAGGTCAAATGATTTGAAAGTTCTTTCATGTTCCTCTGAATAACTATTGACTGCTTCAGCTGTGTCCTTATATATTTCTGTTACGTTGAAAATTTTCCTGAGATCCTTAAACTTGTGATCATAATCTTCCTCTGCTCTGATAGTGTTTTGTGAAATTGAATGAATTAATTCATGTGCTGGGTTAATTGTAGTCAGTTTGGTACATCCTCTCACTCTTTCATCCCCTCACTTGGGAAACGTCATGGAAAATGCCTTCTGAAATGCTAAATCCTTCTTTCTCAGGTTCATTTGAATTCAGCTGGAGCTTCTGGAAGCCAAGCAACTGTCGAAAATTAAGCAATTAGCCTTCATGCTTAAGAAAACAACCCCCACCATTATGACTTACGTATTATTCTGATATGATTGATCTGAACTTTTTAATTAATGCTTGCAAATTCATTAACAGAAATACTTTCAAACCATACCAAAATTCATGGAAGCTTTCATCTGAGAAGTTCTGATACAATAATGAGATTTAAAAAGAAAGTGTTGTGGTTTACATAGCAGAGTGAGCTGTGTAAACTGATACATGTTAGTATGGAAAATTAATGTCCTCTGCCGCCTTTTTTTTTGGTTCCTAAAACACTGTGTGTTTCCTAACTGGGGTTGGGGGAAAATGCTAGTAATTAGAGAAGGTATAGTTACATACTGAAGCATTTTCAAGTTTTAGAATGGTTCCATGAGGAAAAAAGAAGATACTGTATAATTACACAATACAGAAATGCTCATGATATTGTGTGTTGTTCTCTATTCTGTGAAAGTTATTTTAAATTAAGCTGAGCAAATGTTTTGCATCTGCCATGGTTTAACCCCTGCCAGCAGCTATGTACCATGCAGGTGCTCGCTCAACCCCTGAGTGGGATGGGGAGGAGAATTTGAAAAAGGTAAAACCTCTGGTTTGAGATAAGAACAGTTTAATGGTAGAAAAAAAGTAAAATATAATAATAGAATAATAATAATAGAATCATTTTAATAGGAAATAAAGCAAAAGAGAGGGGAATAAACCCGAAGAAGGAAAAGTGATGCACAATACAGTTGCTCAGCACATGCTAACCAATGCCCAGCCTGTACCCAAGCAGTGATTGGCCCCTCTCAGCCAACTCCCCCCAGTTTATATACTGAACACGATGTGCTGTGGTATAGAATATCCTTTTGGCTAGTTTAGGTCAGATGTCTTGGCTGTGCTCCCTCCTGGGTTCTTGTGCACCTCCTCACTGGCAGAGCATGGGAAACTGAAAAGTCCCTGACTTTTAGGATAAGCATTACTTAGCAACAAGTAAAACATCAGTGTGTTATCAACATTGTTCTCATACTAAGGCCAAAGCATATCGCTGTACCAACTACTAGGAAGAAAATTAACTCTATCCCTCTATCTAAAATTAACTCTATCCCCTCTATCAGAGATGAAACCAGGACAGTATCTTAAATGTTCTCTTCTAAATAAACTGTACTCTATACTAAAACCTCTGCTTGGTGGTAATACTCTCACACTTGGTCTTCTACTGTGGTCCTTACAGGATTTCTTTTAAGAAATTATTCTATTTTTCTGCACTTATGTAGTGGCTTATGTATATTACAATGACAGATGATAGACAAAACACTGAAAGTAATTTAAAGTGAGCCTTTTTTTTTAAGAACTTGTCCCTTTTTCATTGGAAAACTAGATGCCTGAGCTAAACTACTCTTAGATGTCCTGTAGTGTGTAATCCTGTAGTCTAATCCAGTTCTGTTATTTACTGTATATACATTTACAAAAACGAATTTCCAGAGATTACTGCATTGCTTTAGAACTCAATTCTGATAGCTAACCTACACCAAGTATGTTAGGTCATTTTGAAAATGTTTTTCAGCTATGGAGTATTAGAATCACAGATTTTGTGGGTTTTTTATATATAGGCAAGAACCTAATCACAGAGCTCTATGCACAGATCTCCTTTAGGCAGGACTTTTGTTGCACATTCTTTTGATGCAGTGTATGGTTTTGCCATACGCATTTTGAGCTACTATAAGCATTTCTCATGTCTGTTGAAGTCACTTACCAACTCCTAACTAACTTTCAGCATATTTTGAAAGCTTTTGGATGTGCAAAATCTGAACTCTAGTTACACAAAGGTTGCTGCTTCCCTGGGGGAATACAGGTCACAGAGCATGTTAGAGCAGAGGATAAAGCTCTTTCAGTTTAAGAAATCTGACTGTAGAACAACCTTCTAGAACAACCACCCACTTTCTTTTTTCCTTTGCTGAGCACCCTAATCAGTGTCAGTCAGGGTGTCAGATATAATAAATGGGCATGGCTTCCAAGTCATGTGTTACTTCAATCTGTTATCTTTCCTGGCCAGAAAACATGAGGAAGTTTGGAACTCTTGTTTTGGAGACACTGGGGTAAATGATAATCTGACCATCTGTAGAAAATACTGAAAAGCTTGAACAACTTTGAGAAAGGGAATATTCAGGAATAAACAAACACATAATTTTAACCTTATTTACTAATCCAAGTCTCTATCCAGGCATAATTCTGAGCCCATAAATGGAAAAAATGTAGCATTAGGCATTTAGTTATTGGTGGCAGCTTGTTGAACCAATGTCACTCAGGCAGCAGTTAAAAATCTAAGACAGCTGTTAAGGAATATTTTTAGCATTATACTCATAAAATCCACAGACATCGTAAATAAAAATCTCCTTTATGTAATTCAGAGATATTTTACATGTCCATCCATAAGCCATAACATAAATGGAATTACAATTTGGCTTTCTGTTTTCCCTTTTAATTTGGTTATTCCTCTTTGTAGGTAATGTAGTGAAATAGCTAAGCATGTTTCATTAATGAACAATGTAATGAAGGAATTTCACATTGTTAAAGTCAGTTGTTGTAGTGATTAATCTGTTCACACAGTATCACAGTATCACACAGTATCACAGTATGCTGGAGATTGGAAGGGACCTCAAAAGATCATCTAGTCCAATCCCCCTGCCAGAGCAGGAACACCTAGATAACGTTACACAGGAATGTGTCCAGGCGGGCTTTGAGTTCCTTTTGCAGATAACAAATACATTTATGTAGCGTGAACTAGTGACTGATTTAGTTGGATGCTGATACAAATTCTTTTGCCATTGTAGTTTCATAGTTTATAAACAGTTAATTAAATGTCAGTGACTTTACTATTGAGAGAAAACAAAGTTTGTAGCATGAGTGAAATGTTTGCCAAGGTAGAAGAGGGTGGCATAAGCTCTATGATGAGACAGAGATAGCCCGTGTCCAAGTTTTACACCTATCCCGAGCCTTGTGGAGGCAGGGTTTTTTGAAAATCTCTGCTATTTTTGTGTTCAGTAGGTAAGAGTTTTATTGGTTTCACTGAACTTTCTCAAATGAGGTGTTCTGGGTTAGAAGCGCAGCATAGATACCCTCTTGCCAAGTTTGCATTCCTAACAATAATGACATGCACAAGATAAGTCAAATTTCGCAACCTGTGTTGTTGGTCCCTTAAAAGGACAGTGACACACATTTAAAACATTACCCTAGAGCAGTTAGGTCTTAGGCTTAATGGGAAACTCCTTATTTCATATAAACGTAAAATTTCTACATGTCAGGAATATATTAAGAAACAAAAAAAAGAAAAAAAAAAGGTAGGAGAGAAATCCCTGCTCCAGAGCGTTGAAAGCCACTGTAAAAATTACCTATTTCCAAGGTCAATGAGGTACTTTGAAAATTTAGTTTAAATTTTCTAGTATGGTTTCAAGCTGATTTCTTGCTAGTCTTTCGCCTCCTAATACTGCATTCCCTTTGCTGAACCTAAGGGATTTGCCCTAAGTGCATCTGGATGATGCTCTTAGTCATGTGGTTTAGTTTTAGGTAGTCCTGCAAGGAGAAGAGAGTTGGACTTGATAATCCTTATGGGTCCCTTCCAACTTGGGATATTCTGTGATTCTATGATTTATTACTTAAAACAGACGATGCTGTCTCACCAGGAGAAAATATCGATGGAGTTGCATTAATCAATTCTTACCTTGCTGGTAAAAACAAAACCAAATTAAACTAAATGACAATTGTTTTCTATTGACAACTTTTTTTTTGTAATGTTGCATGTCTCAGCATTCTCGTTTGATTATTAGAACCTATTTAAGACAGGATGATGAGTGTCTCTTTGATGAATGCCAGCAAAACCTAGGAAAAGACAGCAGGGAGGCCTTCAATTCCCTGAATTAGACATGCAGAAATCCCTTGATTGTTGTCTGCCCAATTACGGAAAAAGCTAAGACTTGCCAGGTACATCCCCGTGAACTCTGTAGATGTCTTTGTTTCCAGTTTTATATGTGCTGTTAACCTATATTCTATTTAAGAAATGAGAGAACATGAAACTTAAAAGTATTTCTTTTTTTTTTTTTTTTTTACCCCCACCCTAGACGATTGATTTAGAGGGGTTTAAGCTGTTCATGAAGACTTTTCTAGAGGCAGAGTTACCAGATGATTTCATTGAGCATCTTTTTACATCATTTAGCAACAAAATCTCTCACTGCAGCCCGTTAATAAAAAACAAACCCCAACACCTTTCTGGAGGTAAGTAATGAAATCACATTAATATAAGAGCTGAAGGTTCCATCTCTATGCTATTTTAATATCTATAAATATATGGAATCCTAAACAGTATATATTTTTGTTTGTTTTGATATTTGTGAAATTGGAGAAGCTAACTCAATCGCGAACAAGAAATACTGTGAAAACAAAAATCAAGTGGTTTCGTCTTTTTAATTCAAAATTATGATGCAGCTGAGACACCAAGTGGACGGTTTTTATCACATTAATGCTATCAGACTGCTATGGTTACATGATCTTGCTGCCTGCTCTGCTGTATAAACACTTTGAAATCATCAGGTCTTCATGCAGGAGGCTCCTGCTGCTACTTTTATCTACAGTTCCTGTGTGCAGTTACTGCTGCTTCTGTTAACTGTATAGGTGTGATGCTGTTATTAATAATCTTACGGGCTTATCAGCTACTGGTTTTTTCAGATGTCCTGTAAGTGTTAGCAGTATTTCTTTTCCCAATGTAAGAATCTTTGATTGCATTGCATGAGCATTTTTATAAATGTGATTTTGTGTTTAGAGGGCTTAACATGTTAAAATATATCTATGCAAAATAGTGTTAAAACCTGCCAAATTACTTTTAAAGAAAATTTGTGGAAGAAATTTAAGGTTGCCTTTGTAACTTTAAGTAGTTGGTTTAACACTTTAGTAATTTGGGAACTCTATCAAAATCCAGTAGCTAAAAGCAGAAGCTAGACTAATTTGATGAAATAAATTCTGTATTTTGAACAGCTGGGTGCTTAGAGCAAGTTACCAAATGGTTTGATGGGTACTTAATTGCTTGAATTCTTTAGATGAAGATTAGGTGTCTTCAAATTGCAACTCATCCAAAAGCTGTGAATTTGGTACAGGTGATACTATCTGAAATGTTAGCTTTTCTTTCAGGTACTAAGGACTATATTTCCACAGATGTCTCAATGTACAATGCTAATTACAGGCTTTCAGTTATCACCTATTCAGATACCACCAGAATGGTCAGACCATCTTTTCTTTTCAGCGCATGTCATCAACTGTGTTAAATAAGGAGTTTCAGTTCTTTTTCTTTATTTAAGTTTACAGTACCTCTTATTTCCTCTTCTTAGCTTATATTGCCTGGCAAGATAAACCAACCAACCAACCAACCAACCATCCTTATATTACATTACCATCTTCTGTTAGGTTATTATGTATACATATAATGGTCATTAAGTGCAGTTAGACTTAACAAAAAAAAATAATTCCTGCTAGCAAATTTTGCTTAGTACATCAAGTGCTAAACAAACTTTTTTCCTTTTTTTTTTATCCTTTCTAGTCAGAACTGCCACGGGCGCATCTACTTCCACAAATACCTGCTGCGTAGACAGTACATTCATTTCCTTGGGCTTTTGTTGTTAGTAATCTAGACTGGTTCCATGTGCAGAGGAGTAGGCTTAGTAGACTATGTTGTAATCAGTTTTGTGGAGTATTCTTGCTCAAAACCTTCTATTGCTAACTGCAGCTCTGATAATGAATTAGTGATGGGTTTGGGCAAGTCATTTACACCAGTGATTCACTCCCTTGCCCTTAAAGATGCTTTGCAACAGAATCTCTAAGTTATGATTGTTACTATTGTTGCAGTTCAAACTGTATGCTAAATTTCTTGCTCTAATGCTGCCTCCTAAATATTTTTTCTTCTTCATTTACTTTTCCCAATTTGTAATTAATTTTCACCTTTTTTTGCTAGTAAGGGCTTAAGAAATAAAGTGAGACCAGATGAGTAGTTTTCGTTATGTATTTAATGTAATACCAGAAGTTTTATGCAAAGCATGTTTCAGAGGTACAGTTCAGTTCACCTCAGGCAGGAGTTATTTGTGCTTGAAAATATACCATTCATATTGAAGTTCAGTTGCATGATATTTAGACTAGATGTTATATCTTTATAATTTTTGGCATTTAAAGGGAAAAAAGTTTGCATTGGTACATTTTGAAGTGCAAATGAAAATTCCAGAAACCTTTCTTTTAGTATATCCAGTAATTTTTAAATGTTACAAATAGCAAAAAAAGCGACTGTATTGGGAAATAAATTTGCCGGAAACATTTGACATTGTTCTGGAAAACAGAAAGGTACATGAGGGCTAGAGAACATCACAAGGAAAAGCAGCAGGGTTCATAAATCTCTCTGGTATGTGTCTGTTTTTTACTTAGTATGTCTTGTACCACTCATGTATGTTTATAAATTGTGTTTTCAGTTAAGGTGTCTGAAGAGAGATGGAAACAGATGCCAGGTAAGCAGCAGCACTGTAAGTCAGTACATTGGAGCTACCCCTCTCCCACCTCTGATTAAGAAGTAACCTGTACCTTGAAGCTTATAAGAAGCTAAAAGATAGCCTTAAATTTCATAATTTCTTTTCATTGGGGTTTCAGGACTGCACATTTTTGAGATGAGTTAGTCTAAGTTTTGTAACACTTTATTCTGTGCATAAGATTCACATAAAACAGGAGTGTGAACTATTTGTGTGCATTGTGTGATTAAAGCTAGCATCTTAATTGATTAATATTTTATAATGTCTTAATTTTAAGAGCACTTAATCTATATGGGAGCTCATTTAATATAATGATTGCAATATTAAATCTTTTTATGAATTTAAATATTTTCTTTCAATGTTTATTATCTGCCTGAAACCATTAACTTGGATCAAAGTTATATTTTGTGCATGCCAATTTACTCCTATTTGTTGATTTTTTTTTTTTTTTAAACATGGGTACCTCAGTAAATCTTCTAAAATGTCTTCAGATTGGAAATAAGTTTTTCAAGATAAAAATAGGGGGGGAGAGGGAAACACCAGAATTGTCTCCATTTGCTGCAGTAATCAACTTGTGCAATACAAACAGATGAAATTATTTATACATGTTGCGTGCAATGATGAATCTGTTCTGAATTAGTTACAGAAAATATTTATGAACAGTAAATCCTTTTGTAAAATTTCATCTTCAACATCAGTAAAGTCGGTGAGAAATGTAACGAAATGTGACTGCTGTTTTCTCTGTGTTCTGCTGTCCTTCCTTTCTTCCTTTTTTTTTTTTTCACACCTCTATTTGTTGGTCTTACAGATTCCAGTAGTATCATCAGGACCAGTTATATTAACGTTCTCTTGAAACAAAAAGTTTGGCAATGTTGAAACTTGTATTCTGAGTGGTACACTGAAGCTGCTCTTGTTCACAGTGTTTGAACAATTATTATGACTATTCTGTGTTTATTTTAATAGATTTCTGCGGCCAAGGCTTCCCATGTTTTGTATATGTGTTGCTCCGACAGGTCTGGCTGTGTTTTGGGGAAGACTATGCTCGTATTATCAATTTTCTTTGACACTAAAGCATCCTCAATTAGTGCAGCTAGTCTTGATCTGTGAATTAGATGAAGCCTCTACAATCACAAGGAAGAGCATGCAGCATTGGCCAGGGATTGTTTTAATACTCCAATTAGCATGTAATGTTGTAGAACAGAAATATTCACCATTTTTTTTGTAGTCAAATAGCAGATCAGCAGATACAAAAAAATGGCTTTGCCATTCCCATAATTGATTTTTTTCCCCAGTAGTTTGCTTTATTCATATAATGTTTTGTAGCCTCACTATCATTTTAATTCTGCCTTTGCTAGATAAACTATGAACATGAATAGTTTAAAACTTTATATTTAAATTAAGTCATTTGAGATTCACATAAACTGAAGATGCAAGTATTTTCTGCTTATATCATATGTTAAGGGTAACAAAGCTTGTGGGTTATTTCCAGGTCTGAGGCTTAACAAAGGTACCTCTACTTCCCGACCTCCTACTCCTGCCAACTTAAATTTACCAGACATGATCCAGCTGAAAGATATTGTTTGCTATTTGTCACTTCTAGAAAGAGGAAGACCTGAAGACAAGCTAGAATGTATGTTCATTTTTTTTTCCTTTTTTTTTTAAAGTTAATTCTATGTATTTATTTCAGGAAGTCATCAAAAATTCTGTTTCTAAATGTTCAGTTTCAGACTGAGTTTTGAGTTAGCTGTATTATAAAAATATGGTTTTAAGTGGCAATTCTTGCAGAAATTACCCTTTTTTCTTGCTAATGGTAGTAACTTGAGATTATTTTAATCACACTTCTAGCTAGCACATGCTAAGATGAGGAGTAAAAATAATACATTATTAGTTAAAATAATCCTCTGTATACTGTTGTCTGTTGATTAGTATTAAATCTGAGAAAAACAAATGAAATATGTTGAGGATACTTAGATATAGAAGTGGTGAATAATCTGTAGTAAACAATCTCTTTCAAACAGAGTTGTTAATATAAGCTGTATTAGTGAATAAAGAAAAGCCAAAAACGGTATAAGTCTGCATCACTGTTGGAAATATTTGACACTGAAAGTTAGAAATTATGTGATGTTTTTAATTAGGGGCCTGATTCATAAAGCCCAATACTTCTCCCTGTTCAAAAAAACCTGAAAGTTTGATCTGTGAACTGCAGAAAAAAAAGAAAAATCCTCGTGTGTTTCCCTGTCATGGAGTGTTAGAAGCCAATTTTCTGAATAGATGAACAGTTACCTAATAATATAGGCCTTCATGAGCCTAAATATACTTTGATATACATAGCTGGTCTGTCTGTAAAAGAACTGTGGGATCAGTCTGTAACACTGCATGGAAAGTAAACAGTGTGATTGGAAATGCAGGGAGTAGGCTGCTTCTGCTGGAGAGAGGGATTCATTACCAGGTTAAATGACTGCATGTTGTTGGAAGTATCTTGATGCTTCATTACTTGTAGTTAGTTTACAATAACAACATTGTACTGTTAAGATTACTGATATTATTGTCTCCGCAAAGATTATAAGGAGCCATCCTCAAATTTGGTAATACTAGTTAGGTGTCATATAATTAGAATATAAAGATGTATGTGCGAATGTGCATTCAGAACACAACCACAGGAAAACTAAGTTCCTAAACAAGACTGAATTTAACTTACAGTATAATAACTGTTTCATGGTAACAAGTTAATGCAAACCTCATTAGATCTCTGAAGAGCTCTGTGCACAAACCATAGCATGAAATGGAGATCAGTTGCCTCCTCTAGTATCAGAAATTGCTACGACGAAGAAGAGAGCCAGGGGAGCAGGTGATGATTTTAGATGTTCCATGAACTTCCTGCAAAAGGAACTGCATAGGCAAAAGACTATGAATGATCTATATGATTTAGGAATGAGAGAACATGATTTAATAGATGTATGGTACTCACGTGTGTAAGATATTCAAGATCCTTTTTATTTACTACATATAATTAAGGTTCTATATGGGTTTATTTTCTACTTTCTCATACAGAGTTGAAATATACCACGTTACCACTTTTTAGTGTCTAAGTACTGGTTTATAGTGTACCATTATTATGCAGAATTCCCCACTGACTAGTTGAATTGTTCTTATAAATTAATGATCTAGTTTAACCCTTTGTCTGAAATAATTTTATAGCAGTAGGTCCTGTGGTTGTAAGGTAAATTATAAATCAGTAGCAGTGGAGAGAAAAAACAAGGATGGCTTATTCTGGATTTGCCAAAATTAGTATTAATACTAATCTCCAATCAGGGTTTGAATTTTTCTTCTGTTGACGAAAAAAAGGAAACATTCTGGATCATAACTTAGTGGAAACTTGGTTCAGGACAAGTAGAATATGGAAATGGTGCTTTCAAACAAAATTTGAGATAAACTGAAGGGTTTTTTAAGATAAATACACTAAGAGGGATTAGTGTTTAGGATCTGAATCTAGATGATTTTTGTATTTTCACAGATTTGCAAATATTCCAGCAGATAAATTTATTGTCTAAACTATTAACTGTATTTCTAGAGGTCTTGAGCAGTGCGAACCTCACCTGTTTGACATGCTCAGCATATCGATTATTCATAAACTAGGTATGGCCTGAGTATAAAGAATATCCCAAATTTCCCTAGCAGAGATGCACTGGAAGAATTTAAGTTGTCTTTTTAAGGTCATATTGCAAATAGTTCAAGGTGTATCTATATTCTTAAGTACCTTCATGCTTTGTGGCTCAACCTGTATGCTTGATCCATAGAAACCATTTTCTGCTCTTCATGTTTTTTTCACAGGTACCAAACTTTGCTTGCTGGTGTCCACAGTATGATTCTTGAACGTGTAAGAAAGACCCCTTGTAAATATGCAAGGTTCTTCCGAAGAGCCAAATGTCATGTTTTGTGGCTAAACTTACTTTCCTTTAATGACCCCAGTGGTAGAAGTTATTTTAGCTCACAGTCACATGAGGCTTTATCAGCACAATCTATTCCTCATTTTGAATGGTTTTTTTTTTGAATCAGAATAACCGTGGACACCAGACACATATCTTGTGAAACTGTTTAGGAAATATCAGGAGGCAGGATGAAGGGCATTAGACATAAATGGTGTGGAGGAAGCATATGACCTCCACAGTTACCATAGCTTTACAGACATAATATGCTTACAAATGCTGGAACTTCTCTCCATTATTACAAACAGAAACTCCAAGAATGAGTTGTAGGTTTTTTTGCCTGTTTTTCTTACCGAAACTCCAGGTTATTCTGTTTCTGTTCTTCCCATACCGGCAGAAGCTTTGAGAATGCCACGCTGTTCTTTTGTATTTTTGTAGTAATACAAGTTCCAGTTACAGTCTTTTTACTATGCTGTGCAGCTCTTCGACACTCTCAGGCTTCTGTGGAGAGTGGCAAGCCTTACAGTTTCCAAAGTATATGTGCTGGTGAACATAGAAAGTACATTCAGCACTTGTTTGTACATGGATTTTTGAGAATGGATTCCCCAGTTTCTTCTCAAAAGAACATACTTTGAACTTTTGGAATTTCTGGGATGCCTCCTTTTCTGATACACAAGTTTAGAAGCCCGGAAGTTGCAGGCGAAAGTAAAGCAATGCAGCAACTGATCTCATCTTGATAATTTTATTTTAATGTGTTTTTAATTATTTACAAAAGGTATGCAGTCTAGTAACAGAATTCTAGTGGCCAGTTAGCACTATCAGTTAAAGCGATGGGAACAGAAATAACAAAAGTTTTACTTGGTCTCTCTAGTTTGCATCAGAACTTTTGTTCAGTTGTTTTTATCATTTAGTTGTTTTTTCTCTTAGAGTGCATAAATCAGGAAGAACATGAATATTTAGCAGGGCATGAATAGAAAAAAATGGAAAAAATATGCAAGAGATTGCATGCCACACCAGTAACATAGTTGGTGGGTTTTTTTTCACCCGAGAGCACAGATTGAGCCTTTTCACTACCTAATATGTATGCAATTGGAGAGACTTTGTTTGCTACAAAGGTGAAGCAGCTATAATTATGCTAATGTCTGTTTCAGAATGTCTGATTAGAACTACTGATTCATGTTAAAGGAAAAAAACATTGTAAGCATTGCTTTTCTGGTGTGGGTAAAGATCACGGAGATGCTAAAGCTTGCGTCATGATAACTGTAGAACATTCTTTCAACCAGTACATTACAATCACAGAGGAGGAGGGAGAGCTAAAGGATTTGAACTTTATCACCCATTCAGTGATTCATCCCTATGGAAACCAAATGCTTAATGGTATCTTTGCCAGATAATGTTAGCTGTCATGCCCTGAGCAGCTTTGGTAGAAGATGTACTAGCAGGGACAGTACCAGTATCTCTGGTGCCTTTTAGCATTAACTGCTTTTTTACACTGAAATGTTTCTGCTGTGTAATTCACAGGCAAGAAAGATATTTTTAATGGTTTTCTTATGCTATACCTAAAGAATAATGGACCTTTGTGGCTTGAAACAGTGTACAACAGTAAACATTTTAAATCTTACATTACAGCTCTCGAAAGCGGTTCGATTTAGCAGCAAAAATTGCTGAAGTGGTAGAGAGGTATAGTACTTACCTTTTATCCCCACAGTTAGGTGAGCAATTTAGGAATAACATGGGGGATATAAGGGAAGCAGACCAATCCATATAGCAGTTAAGTATGTTTTGCTGCAGGTCAAAAATTACCAGTTTTTTTCTGAACTTTACTTGCCAATTGCTTATAGTTTCCTCTTACTTATTATTATATTATTTCTTGAAAACTGATAAGCATTGCTTGCAGAATTTATTGGACTGTAACAGAATTTGCTGTGGACGTAGTGTGGTGGGATTGTTCACTGTTGAATCATAGAATGGTTGTTCATGATTGTTTGCTGTTGAATAGGTCATATGTTTACAATTTGTAAGCAGATTGCTTGGGTTCTAATATCAGTCAAAGCATTACAGGGCTCTTTTGTTACTCCTTAGGAAATAGATTTATGGAGGGGTGTTGTGGTTTGAGCCCAGCTGCTACGCAGTCTCACTCCTCCCCTTCCTTCTGATTTTCGTCTTTAGTCTTTTAACAGTATTCCTACCAAAGCTTCAGGCTTGTTTCTGCTCTGCAATTTGATGCAGTATGTGATCAGCAGAGTAATCTACTTTGAAATATCTTGGTAATGATGGACATACCTGCTCTTGTGAATGGAATCAAGTAATGATACAAACTTAAAAGTATATATCCATTTCTCGATATTGTCAAAATGCAGCTACTCTTGTCTCGGTAGCTCCCCAAAATGTTAGGAATACATTTTCAAACTGAAGAAATAATTCTGGTCCTGGGAGGAGTCATGCTGGCAGTCTGTGAGGAACGCTTATTGTTGGACTTGGCTGTTCAGATACTTCAAATAATCATGCTCTGTTTCATTTAGTTGGTCAGAAAGCATTTTTAAATCAATATAATTACTGAATAATGATAGCTGCAACCAAGAAAATAAGATACCATTGTAACTTAAGCTTATCAATATTTGCATGACCAGTTGTATGTTATCCTGTGTTTGATGAGATGACGGAGAGGGGCCTTTTGGTGGTACTCATCATGAATATAGATCATTTCTGGTAGAAATCAGAAATAATTTCACAGACCAAATTAACTGTTGTAGTGATTATTTGGAAAAGGTGCAATTGAACTGTCCTGCTAGTGTGTCTTGTAGGAGGCACCGTGGCAGGGTAGATGCTGAATGAACCTCTCACATAGTACAAAGTGTTTTGTGGGTCTACAGTTAGTGTGATCATTAAAGGAAAATGTTAATGTTTGTCCTTTCTTTAAAACTCAGGTTTGGTTGGCTTGTGCTTTGGTTGTTGTGTGGTTTTGGTTTTTGTTGTGTTTGGTTTTTATATGAAATTATGCTGCTACTATGTTTTCTGACTGAGATTCCTTCTCTTTTTGTTTCCTTTTTAGTTATGTTTCGTTTATATGATACAGATGGGAATGGTTACCTGGATAGTTCGGTAATGTTATTTATGTATTTTAATTCATTGTAAGTGTATGTCATAATGGCATACCTGAACAAGCCTACATTAATGCAAATCAAGTTTATATTTTTCCGTAATAGAAGCAGTATGAACTATAATTGATAAAAAGTCAACCATTTTGAAAGCAACTCTTGAATTTTCTCTTCCACTAAGCCACTGCTTCTACAGCTGTGTAAATTTTCAAATGCTGACATTGCTGTTGTGGAGTCCTGTTCTATGGTCGCCTGATTTTTAACCATGCTGCTGTAGGGGACACATTATAATAGGCTTCCTAAAATTCTAGTATGTTGCTGGGAGATATGTATGAAAGCACCATTTGTAAAGATTTAATGAAAAGGCAAAAATGTGAGTCGCTCAGTGGATGTATGTGGAGAGAGGTCAGAACTTCCATGTTATTATTAAGAATGGAGGTACAAAGTTTGAACGAAAATCAGAGATATAGCAATCATTTAAAAAATGTAACCGTCCTTGTTTAGTTAACTAACAGAAAGAAGTATTTTATAGGCAGCTTTCTTTTTTCTTTTCCCTTTTCTGTCTCCCTGAAGTAAGACAGCATAGATTAGAGAAAGTTGATCTGCATAAGTGACAGGGGAGCAGGGAAGCTAAGTAATACAGAGGTATAAAGTAAATGCCGTATCAGGCAATATAAAATACAAATTGGTTAACTAGTGCATAATAAATACACATGCAAATTCAGAATGGTTCTAGATAAGCATTTGAGTATGTTTACAAACCAAACCTCCATATATATAAATATGGAGGAGCATTAGTGATACATGATCAAGGGAGATCACAGCACTGTAATGGTTCAGCAAATATCTATATTAGTTTATAGGACAAGGGGTAACAGGTTAAAACTTAAACAGGGGAAGTTTAAACTGGATATAAGGAGGAAATTCTTTCCTGTTAGGGTGGTGAGGCACTGGAATGGGTTGCCCAGGGAGGTTGTGAATGCTCCATCCCTGGCAGTGTTCAAGACCAGGTTGAACAAAGCCTTGGGTGAGATGGTTTAGTGTGAAGGTCCCCCTGCCCATGGCAGGCTGGTTGGAACTTGATGATCTTAAGGTCCTTTCCAACCCTAACTATTCTGTGATTCTATACTGTCCACTTTATGCCTTATTTCCATTAGAAAGTTGTGAATGATACAAATGCTGTCCAAAAAAAAAAAAAAAAAGGCTAGAGTGCTGGATTTTAAAGATCCTTACATCATTATATCAAAGATGCACTTTAGATCATGAAACCAATACTCTAATGATCAACTAGGAAGGAAGAATCTGTTACTATTTTGGACCCAGATGCTGTCCTTTGTTTGTGGGGCTGTATTTCACCTCCATGCATGCTTTGTGCTCCATGCCTAATGTTTAGATAGTGAAGTGAATTCGCCTAAGAGTAGACAGCTTACAGGTTAAGGGATATTTCATTAACAATGTTGATGAAACAGTGTCACTGAATGCAGTATGTTTGAATTATTAGATGCTTACAGTAGAATTTGTCTTCAAAATATTGTGTTAAATTTTATCATTCTTTTTCATTTGTCTGTAGGAGCTAGAAAATATCATTGCTCAAATGATGCATGTTGCAGAATACCTTGAATGGGATATTACTGAACTGAGTCCAGTAAGTATCCATTTTATCACAAGTTTTTAATGTTGCTAGACATAGAATTTAATCACGTTGTAATACTTAATGTCAACATGTGATTCTATATATTCATTAGTAAAATAGAAATAATAATAGTCTGTGCTCCACTATGTCACTGCCAATTAGCACTTTATGGGTGTTTTTCTGATTAAATCTGATCTGTGAAACATTCTTACTACAGTTAGGGCTTTCCTTCAGTGCATGTAGTAATTAACACAACTGGTTTGTCTCTGAAAATTTGTTAATAGTAACTATCTCTTATTTGCATTGTACATAGTAAGTACAAAAGGGGACACAACTCGGTTTGGGAATTCGGATGATAATTAAATGTAAGAACATGACACTTCATCTTCTGAACTGTCAGCACTCATTTTCTACAGGTGCCATACCAATAATATTTTCCTTACTTTTTGCATGCGGATGAGGGAATTGGATATCTGCATATGTTCTAAAACCAAGTTGTTGTATTAGAATATGGAATTCATGAGATTTTTCATTAAACTATGTAGATCCTTCATGAAATGATGGAAGAAATTGACTATGATCATGATGGCACTGTGTCTCTAGAAGAGTGGATCCAAGGAGGAATGACAACGATCCCTCTCTTGGTCCTCCTGGGTTTAGAGAATGTAAGTATTAACATAGGAGTGTCCAATTTCTGCTTGCATGACAGCTATGACCCTCAGCTTAGCTTCTCTGTGGCCTGTGTAAAGAATGGCTTTTCTTTACTATGGCTGAATAACATACAAATAATAGAAGTGTGTCTTCAAAGTCAGAGGTACTTCAGCACATTTGAAGCAACGTCAAATGAGTCAGTTCTGGAGCTGGAAGCTGTGAAAAGGTGATTAATTTGTCCTGTTAACACAAATTGTTAATTCCTAGCTGCAGTGTATCTGTTCAAAATGTTTTACTACCCATGTGTGTTACAGCTGGCTGGGAGCAGTGTCTAGGCTTCTCAGCATGGTGGTGTTGTGTGGCCTAACTATGCTGAATCACAGAACAATCGAGGTTCGAAGGAACTTCTAGAGGTCATATGGTTCAGCTTATGATTAGTGGCAGGACCTCAGGCTGAGTTAACCAGGGCCTTGTCAAACCCAGTCATGAATAGTTCCAGTGAGGCGGGTTCCACCGGTTCTGTGGGCAACCTCTTTCCATGTTAATTGTTCTCAAGGGAAAGAGCTTTTTTTACTTATGTGCAGCATAAGAATAAGAATTTCTTCCGCTGCAGTTACTGCCCGTTGGCTCTTGTCCTGTTGTGATACATTCTTGTGTAACTACCTTAATAAACTATGTGTAGTAGCAATATCAAAGAGAACACTTGCACCAAAGGATAGAGTGTTATGAAAGAGGAGCTTACGTTCTGTACGTTTACAACTTCACATTAAATATAAGACAGATGTAATAGGATCAATTTTATACCAGTTCAACACAGCTGTTTTAACTCTGGCATGTTGCCAGTGCCACCTGCTGTCCTATAGAGATAATTTTGAGCACATGTATCTTAGCATATGTTTCAAATGTTTTTCTGTTATTTGAGGCAAACCTTTTTCTGAAGTCTTTTTCAGCTATTGAGCTGAAATAATAAGTAATATTTACTTTCCCTGTATACTGCAACATGCCTGCACTAAACCTAGACTGCTGTAGTTCCCCTATGGTGTTTCATTCACACAAAGAATGGTCAGACTGAGATTTCTATAGTGAAGTATGTAACAAAACAGTGCCTTTGGCAGAAGATCTAAAATTTTTGCAAAATCTTATTAATCAAATTGCCATCTAAATATCTAAATTGAGGAAAAGTTTCAGTACCTTTGGATCACTGTAAGTACTAATGTCCTAATTCTGGATGTGTGACAGAGTAACTAAAATGTTAAATTACTTCCCTATCATCAAAGAGCCCATCTTTGTCAGGATAAATTCACTTATTTCCATAGAATTTCTCTAAACAAAGGGCAGCAAATGCTCTCAAGCAATCATTATAGCAGATAACTGATAGTAATTTTCAGTGTAGACTTTTCTTTTGTGACAGGTAGTGTGTATGTTCTGGAAGTACTTTTCAGTGTCCACACTTGATTCTTTCCAAATGTAAAACTCCTTAAATTCTGTGATAAACTAATGCAGATCCTTCTGTTAGAGGTTTATTTTCATATTAAAGCAAAAGCTATTTAGAAAGAAGCCATGTAAATGTCACCAGATATTTTAGTCTTTTGGGTATTTTTGCTAATTGTTAGATAATTTATCTTGCTGTGCATAGGTTTAATATGGAAACAATAAAAACACATAAACAGTGATCAAAGTTCTGTAGCTAGCTGTTAGCATGGATCAGTGTTTCTGTCAAGAGTATTCCTGGTACTTCATGTGTTGAAGAGACATAAATGTGGAGTTATGAAAAAATATTATAATGGTATACAAAGTATTTTTTTTATCAATAAGCATAGTTTTATTAATTGAAAGTGGGAATAATAGCTTGTATGATAGTGACAAAGAATTGTCACTGTAGTTTATTTGAAAAAATAAAAAAAAAAAAAAAAAGAAGATACCAGTGAAGTCTTTAATTTGTTTTGGGTTGGGGTCCATTAATTTACTGTAATCTACTTAACTCTTGTATAGAGCTTGTACAAGCAATACAGGAGTCTCAGGTGGTGTAATATTTTTTATGCTAGCATTAGTGAAGCTATGAAAATTTATTTCAGCTGAAGATTTGTCATGTTGCCTTCAGAATTCAGCTGCATTTTTTGTACTTTAGTCTTCTTTAAGAGCTATCTAAAAAGGTCATCTATCATATAAAAGTTTTATATTACATTAAAGCCTTTCAGTCCATTTTTCTTGCATACTATATTAGATGCTTTAGTTACAATAATGGAAAACATTTTAATGTGATACAGAACTATATTATACAAAAAAAAACCCAACAAGTTAGTTTTTATAAACAATGGGGTTGAGATAGTGTAATCTCTCATAGGTTTGTGGTCTTTGCCCTCTGAGTTCATCAGTAATAGGAATGTTGTTACTACAAGTATTAGCCAGACAGCTGTTGTGAAGTGAAAAAAAGTAACAAGGAAATCTGCCTGATTTTCCTTCTGATCTCTCTGCCCTTACCCCACCTTTTCTTTAGACTTTATGAAACTTCTAGTGCTCTCTCAAATTTAGGTGAGATTACTAAATTAATTTTAAAGTTGATGGGCCAGTTTAGAATCATAAAGGGACAAAAAGCATATATGTCTTATTTCTCCAGGAAATCAACCTAAACATCCAGTTTATTTTATTGGGTTTTATGCTTTCTGATTCCTCCTAAAAACTTGAGTTTAGAGTTGTTGTGAAGGTAGAGCTTAAAAATGCAGTTTTATTCTGGGATTGTTTGAGGATAGAAACAATGTGTTCTTATTTTGGTGTTTTTCAAGGCAATAGATGTGCTAAACAATTTCAGTACAAGATAAGGAGCTTAATTGCTTCTTATTCTATAAGACTGCTGTGATGCACATACTGTTTCACAATTTGTTTTGCAAGAAAAGACCCCTGTCAGTGGTTGTAGGTGTAAAAAAGTAGGTATAAACTGCAAGTTCACAAATACTAGTGTTTTTTAAAAACCTGTTTTGAGTGGAAAGTGTTTTGTTCTCTCCTTACTGGCCACTAGATGTCACAGTTGTACTGTATCTGGTACCGTACCGTTCCCGAAAAGCCGCCGTGGGGTGAAACTGAACAGTAAATGCTTCTTAAAGTCATCAATAATCTGAAACCAGAACACTATGCCTTTCTTTTAAGTCACCAATTCTAATTTTCAACCTATTTCACCCTTAAATCAAGGTAAATTTCAATGGCACAAACACATTTGTATTGAAAGTTTGCTGTGCTTCAATTAAATTAGAAGGAAATACACTTGCGATTTTATTTTGGATCCTCAAGCAGCAAGTATTATGCTGTTACACTCAAAGAATTTAAGCCAACTCTTTTTTTAACCTTTTGATTAAGTAAAAGGTGGATATTGCTTCTTACATTATATGTTACATTATTGTTGGCTTACTTTTTGTATGTAACACTGAGTATGTGAATGTGGAACCAAACTGCAGACTTGCATAGTATGTGTTGCACCCTGAGAAGTCCCTCTTAAGCTGAAGTCTGAAATGACTTTTAATGATGGACAGTTTCACAGAATTGCATTTCATTCATTCAGCAAGGAATGAGAGTGATCTCATTGTCCCCAGTGCTATTTTTGTAACATATTTTTCACACCTGAAGCCTGGCAGGTGAGTTTTCTAAAGCTGAAATGCTGATGTTACATATGCTATTTCCTTATGTACAAAAACCAAGCCCCCTCTAGAAGTAGCTGTACCCTGTTTGTGCCGGCTCCTGCTAGGAAGCAGGTTCACCCCAAATGATTAACGGGAGCTGTTTTACCAATGTCAGTTCAAGGCATTGCCAGCAGAGGGGGAGATGTTAATGCTTTGTGAGACTCCGCAGCCGGAACTGCTAAGAAAATACATAATTCTTCTTGAGAGTGCTCTCTACTTTTATGCTGTGTTGGCTCCCACTTCTTTGCAGGAACTTTGCAAATGCCTTTCCTTACTGTAGACCTGCTTTGCCTTTGCCTGTAGGGTGGTAAAAGCCCAGGAGAAGTCAGGAGTAACTCTAACCATTTTTGTGTATAAGGTGTAAAAAAAATGATATTTCATGCAGATGGCCATTATTTAAAATGTCATTTCTGCTAGCAATTTAGAGGCAGGGAAACTGTGGATAATTATGAAACTTGTTTAAACAGATAATTTCTCCTCCTGTGCTGCATTTTCTGTGCTGTCATTTTCTAACGTGCATACAAATACTTAAGAATTTCTGGATGGTCAGGATAATGCACTGGTGAGTGCATGGATGAAGGCTGGGGAAATGTATGTTTGTTTGTTGTTTTTTTCCTTTAGTGTACATATATAGGCACATGAAATACCTAAGAAGTTAGAAGTGAGGAGCCTTCCCAAATAGTGTTTATCTTGAGGTTAGTTCCTCTCCAGCTGAACCAGAACAGATTTAGAACCCGCTCTTCCCCAAACCAAATTGAACAAAACCTGACATGAATGCTGAGAGCCACCAAAGGAATAAAGAACTTCACTGCATTTGTATTAAAAGGAGGAGCTGCATAGTTTAATGGGCACTCTTCTCACTTCCCATTGACTGAACAATACCCAAGGTCAGACATAAAAATGTCTTCAAGACATGTAAATATTTTTGAGATAAATGAAAATAAAATAGCAGTGAAAGAATAACTTCGCAGACTCGCTAACATCCTTTTCCCTTGGTTGCTTGTTACTGACTCTTCTTACAGAAAAGACTGAGCCTGCTGGTATTTCAGACTCTTTATAGCTATTGTAAGCGGGGATACTTGCTGGGATGAAAATTTATGAGCAGTTTCAATACCTTTTTTTTAAGTCTCAGAATCTTGAGTTTTGTGCTTTAAACTTTAAGGTCTCTTTGGATAGCTTTATTTAAAAATATCTGAAAAGCTGAAGTAAGTTAATGTTAACCCAGATTATTAGGGATGTGTAGCTAAATTCTGTGACTACATAAAACTTTTCACTAATTCTAAGGCTGGCTCTTTCATGGTTGACTTTCTTTTTAATGTCAGGTCCTTCTGGCAATCAAATCCATGGTAGAAGGGTCAGGACCATAAGCTAAGAGAACCATTAACAAAATAAGTCTTACTGTTTTCATTGTGTGCATACATTGTCTGTGTATGGCATATGGAGGCTTCATTTTCAGTGATGTATAACGAAGTGAGGAAGAGATTTTTACTGTACCTGCCCTGCTTTGAGATCTTTTTAATGACTATTTGTTTTTAAACTCTTTCTCAGGATATGGAAGCAAAATGAGTAAGTGTCAGTAAATGCACTGTTGTGTCAGAATTGTGGATTTTATTCATACTTAAAGACTTGCATTGAGGGGGCTTTGTTTCACATTATGTCTTTTTTTTTCTTGGCAATGTTTTAAAAAGTTATGTGCACGTATAATCATATGCAGCACTTTATTGCTTATTTTTGGCAGTGCACAAGAGCAAAAATTTAATTTGCTATTTTCCAAAAGTGCATTGTGTTTATGTAATGGATTTGCATCAGTTGCAGTCTGTAACACAGTTAAGTGTTTTAATTGGCAGAACACCCACATCAAGACTTGTTTGTTTTTCTGATAAGGAAAATGCCAGCTAAGTTAGTCCATATGCTCTGTTCCAGTAAGAAGCGGCATATTCACATGTAATGGTCATTCTTTAAAGATAAAATTGAAATGAAAAAAGTAACACAAAACTAATGTGGAGGAGAGGAAAGTTTATTCATCACTATGAATTTTTGTTAAGGTTTAGAATGAAATATTTTGCTAAGGAAGACTGGTTAGCGTGCACTTTAAGTGCCTGTTGTTTATGACTGAATCTGTCAATGACCTGAGTATTGTTAAAATGAAAGTGTGCATTGGTTGCTATTTTTTTCTCAGAAGGATTTGCCCAGTATTTATTATCTAATGAATAATTCTCTGCTTTCAGAAGACTCGGAACTCACATACTATGTTGTATGTGTATTTTTAACAATACTTTAAAAATGTGTGGAATGTGGTAGTAAGATGCAAAGAAAAATGGAAGTTACGGAGATCCATTTAATGAAATGCATCCTCTTCAGCTGCCAGTCTTGAAGGAGCTTGACAGGCTCCTATTGCTCTACAGCTGCAGAATCTATTTCTGCTTCTTCAGGGGAAATTGAAAAACATCCACACTTCTTGCCAGCCCTAGAATCCCATCTGCTGTTCCTGCAGAAGGGGACCCTGACCAATGCCCAGCTGTCAGAGATGGCATTTGAACTCTTCATCCTCCTGATAATACTGGGGGGAACTCCACTTAGGCTCTGGTCCTGGTATCTCGGTAGAGGAAAAATATTCCAGCTGACTTTGGTTCCTTTTGTTTCTAAGTAATTTTCTTGGAGATTTTCCTTCAGGATCACACCCCCATCCCCAAGGATGAAGAAGTCTTTGTCAGTTTTGACTTGTTGTTAATGGCTGACTCATAGAATTGAGAAATACTGATTTCTCAGGACATAACTCATGCAGTATATGCTAATATAGGTCAAAACTAAATTTTTATTAAAATTTATGGCCACTCACTTATATTGACTATCATTATCAGTGAAAATCATCATATTACTGCATATTCAGTCAGAAATATTATATATACATGATGACAAATAGTAGCAGTAGTTTGATGTGAGAAATCAGAAACAGGATGAAGACCAGCTGTTGCTGTGGCTTCTGGGAAACAGAGGCTGATGTGGCTTCCTTTAGCTATGTGAAAATTTCTTTTCAGTAATGAAACGACCAAGAAGGCTATAGAATTTCAGTAATTCAGAATGAAGAATAAAGCTACTGCAGCCTGGTTCCAGCTGATAGACATAAACCACGTTTGTTCCATTAGATGTTACATTTGGTAAAAAAATAAAAAATCCAACTGATATTACATTAGGTTACTCTACTTTTTTTTTTTCTTTTAATCAAAACCTCTGATGATTGCAAAAAGGGAAAAGCGCGATGGCCACACTTGCCAAGAAACCTGGGAATTTACAGACTGAATTTAACATCTGTACCAAGCGCACGTCGTTTTAAAAGTCTTCTAATAACAGTGAAGTTTCAGAATGATTCCTTTAAGAACAAAGAGGACAATCATGCAGCTGAAAGATTGCTTTCATAAATGATTTGATAATATTTTAGCTGTAGGCATAAGTTACAGTGGGCCCCTGAGTTGTAAGTGCTTATCAGTTGATCAGTCTATTCACGCGAGATTTGAGTATAGTGCTACAGCTAACTGAAAAATAAGAACTTAAATGTAGGGAATTCAACTTTGGAGAAGAGTCCAGTATGTAAATCTCAATCTTAAATACTTGATTTTTGATAGACTGTTGGCAGTACATTAACATAAATTAAAGCTGGCAATAGGTATTATTGTGGTGTGGCTAGATTTCCCACTTCACATACATTGATACATGTCCCTTATTCTAAGGGTCATTAAGAATATCTTTGTCATATAAAAAAAAAAAATCCTTTCTATCATTCATTTGGGGGGGGGGTGTGTGTGTGTGTTTATTTGCTAACCTGCAGCACCTTTATTTTTAGAATTATTCTAGAACAAGTTTTATTTAATTTTAATACTAGTTGTAATTTAATATCAGCCTAGATTTATTGCTAGCATTGTGTTACAGCAGTGACAGCAGCCTGTTTTGGTTTTTTTTGTGAGTTGTTTTTGAAACACATGGATGTCCGTGAGCTTCTGAAGAATTTTTTATTATATCATTGCCTGTGTATTTAGAATGATTATACTGTGATCTGGTGAAGAGTATTAAATGAAGAAACAGCTTGGCTTTTACGTTCCTGAGTCAATCTCCAATTTTTATTGGCAGTTATATATGTCATTGTTTATTTTATCAAATGAAATCTGTTTCTTTTATGTCCTGTGCAGAATGTGAAAGATGATGGGCAGCACGTATGGAGGCTGAAACACTTTAACAAGCCTGCCTACTGTAATCTTTGTTTGAATATGCTAATCGGAGTAGGCAAGCAAGGTCTCTGCTGTTCTTGTGAGTATAAGCATTTTAGTGTCCATTTGCATACATGTCTATTCCTAGAAAAGTTCTTCCTCTGCATAACAAAGAACTAGTAGCTTCCCAGTACAAAACCGTTGCCTGCACAATGGTGTCTCCCCTCTTTGTCTGCTATGCTTGAGCACTCAGGTTTCTATTTTTAACTTGTCTGGATATTGGGCTTTCAAAGCTACTATTTGAGGGAGTTTTCTGTATGACGATAGCTCTGTATTAGTTCCCTTTGGGGTCTGCTTCTTTTTTTTTTTTTTTTTTCCTTTTATCAAGTATCGTGTTTAAGTTTCAACCTTATATTTTTATTATTAGTTTTTTTTTCCATATATTTTAATAGATATCAACTTGACTAGCGTCTAAGTTCCATGTTTGTTTATTCAAATTTTGCACAGAATTCTTGGTTTGTTTTATTGTAACGGTCAAAATCCCCATTTTCCATAAATCAGGCTTCTGTAACACTTGCAAAGTTTTGTATGTTTAGTTGGTTTGTAAAAACTAAGTCTTGCCATACTTTCACATTTTAACTTCATTGTAGATTTTAAGATAAAGGAACACAGAAAAACTGCTACGTCTAATTTGCCCTTCATTAGACTATTACGTGCGGTTAGTACAGTTCCTTAGGTTGTCTCTGTGTTGGACCAGCTCATAACCAGTATCTTGAGAAGCCAAATCTTGCTGAAAGATACTTCATCTCTGTTTGAATGTTTCAAGAGATAGATGATCCATATCTTTCTTTTTGTGGTGTGTTCCAATGATTAATCCTTAATCTTTTTTTAAGACCTATTTTCTGATTTGAATACCTCTTTTAGATGGGTCTAGTGATTCCTTCGTGTTATGCCCTGCTCCATTAGGTTAATGAGATCGTTAGTACCCACTGTATTCTTCTCATGATGGTGTAAAGTCACCTTTCATTGTTCTTTTTGATAACTTAATCAGTTTCGTGGTGTAACTTACTTTCTCCATTTTTGTTATGAAAAATAGCCCATCACAGCTGATCAAGACCCTTCTGCCTGTACAATTCTATTGGTTTGAAATTATTTTGAATGAATGAGGGTTTCCAAATCAACTGTTTGTCTCTTCTATGTGGGCCACAGATCTCTTTAAACCAGATACAGATCCTCCACATATGTTTTTTCACATTATATAATTTCATTCACAGTACTATGGAGTGAGAGACATGGATTTATTAAAATTGAAACAAATCAAAATTCAGTAACTTCAGATTGACAGTAACTCGAATATATATTAAAAATACTGAATTGACTATTAGATCTTGAAATACTATATTCTTTAATATTCTTTTACATCAGACTCATGTAAACTTGTGAAGAAATCTAATAGCCATATCTGTTTGAAAGAGAAATTTTATCGAGTATAGAATGTAGATCATCTTCTTCAGTAGTTACCAGAAATGTGCAAGTGACTTACATAAATTGCCCCAAAAAGACAAGCCTTACAAGAACTGTTACTCTCTACTGCAGTGTGTTTCTTTAAAATCCTTTTGTTAGTGTGTTTCACATTTATTTGGTGAGAACAATGCTCCCAGAATATCTGAAGAGCATCCACATGCTCCTTTCAGTTTCTTCATGCGTCAAGGAGCCTGAGCCTAGTTACAAAACTATTACACTATTTCCTTACCTCGCTAAGCTGCTTCTCCAATATATTTTCAAAGCACTGCTATAGATTTCATTATTTGCATTTTAGATTGTGTGGGAGGAAAAAAAAAGGGGGGGGGGGGGGGGGAGGAACTGCAGGGTGCCTCACCATCCCTCCATGGTCCAATCAACAATGTTACACCCTGCAGTTTGTCTGATTAATGGCTGCACCTCCCACTGGGTTTGTGTAATAGGTGCAAGCAAGGTGTTTAGAAGTACTTTGTGCTTAATTGCTCTCGAGGTCAAAAGCGTGAGACATACACCATGCAGGGAGAAATTCATTCTCAGTTTTTAATAGTTGACTCTATTGAATGCAGGTATAAGCTATAGCATTATTTCCTTATCTAGGCACAGTTGTATAGTTTAAGTCAGGAGGGCTTTGTATTGTACCCTGACATTTATATGTTTTCCAAATGCAGCTAGTGTGATCTTTACAGTCCTGGCTGACAATAGTGGTTACCAAAAACTGGTGTGGAGAGGTTAGGAAGAAAAAGCTTCTCAGGAGATGACATTGGGGAAAGTAAGGGTTAAAGTTGGGGTGATTACATGGAATGCATGAAAACAATTGCTATCTGAAAATGAACTAATCAGCCATTTAAGATTTATAAATCAATAAAAGGAACAACATAAATTCATTGGCTTTTATTTTTGTGCTTGCCAGCTGCTCTCATGCCTATAGTTTCTAAAATATAGATTTCTTTCTACTAGCAAGTGACACCAAACCATTTGGCAGTCATCAATTTGTCTTTAATATTTTTTGTCATTTGGGAATTATTGTGAAAAAATTTAGTGAGCTCTGATTTAATTAAGCATTTCCTGCTACGCAATGATAGTGCATTCTTGGATTTCTCACTTGCATAGTATTTCTTATTCTAATTGGCCTTTTGTATTCCTTGGAAAAAGCAGTCTAGTTTGAGTTTTCATTGACTGATTGGGTTGATTATATAGAGATGGCATGCTGATAACATTATTTGTTTCATAAAAGTGTAGTCAGAAGCAGCATGGCCTCAAGATCTATTAATGTGTTTCTTTTTTCAGTTTGCAAGTACACAGTCCATGAACGCTGTGTCTCAAGAGCTCCCGCATCTTGCATCAAAACATATGTCAAGTCCAAAAAGAATACTGATGTAAGTTTGGGGTAGCATTAACTTTGCCATTTACCTGTTAATTTAGTAACTCTATGTATATCCACACTTTTCTTTTGCAGGTAATGCACCATTTCTGGGTAGAAGGAAACTGTCCAACAAAATGTGATAAGTGCCACAAAACCATAAAATGCTACCAAGGCTTGACTGGACTTCACTGTGTTTGGTGTCAGATTACAGTGAGTATACTATAGTAAAGTCTTTAGCACAGGTTAGAGAGATAAAAATCTACATGTCTTTCTTTATGGCCTCATAATTCAAAAGGTCTAGTTCAGTTTTGTCATCAGAAATGAATAGTGCATGTTTAAGAAGTAGTATATGCAGAATATTTGTAGGAGTCCTTAATTCTTGCAAGCAAATATGCTTAAAGGTGTACTCTGCTTAAAGACAATATACAAATAGAAATAATATATGTCACGCTAAAGAGCAGAATTCCCAGTTTACCTTACGGGAAGATTATAAAATATTTTTCAGTACTGGGGAAGGTCAAGGTCACTGTGACGCTAGGACAAAACCTTAATTTGTGCTGTACTGAAAGGCAGATGAAATTTAGGACATCTGGTAGGATACAGTGATTTCAAGTGTCTGGGAATAATAGCAGAGACATCTTGATATATACTAATCTGTGCACCAACTCTAATATATACAACTTTTGTGCACTCCTTATTCAGCAGGAACCAATAACTGGAACTAATGACATTCAAGGAACACTGCCCTTAAAAGTGAGATCTTCATGCTAGAAGGAGCAATGCCAGTATTTCTGTTCCTGGCCGAGGCAGGATTAAGTTTCAAATCTAAATGGGGAAAGATTCAGGTCTCTTCTAGGGCTTTTGCCTTTTTTGCTGATACCATTATTATTGTTACAAAGCAGCAGTTGTTTGTTCAGTGTTTTAAATAATAATATGAGACTGAGGCATTAGTGAATGTTTGTTTTTAGTGTACAAGTTCGGATGTTTTATGACATTTTCTTAATACAAGAACACAAAATATGAAACATCATCAAAGAAAATAGATCCAGGATACTTTCAGTGATAAGCTGTTATGATTACTTAAAACCCAATATTTTAGAAGGAAGCAAATATGTAGTCCAGATTGCTGTCAAAATTTGGATAATTTATGTAAGGAATGGAACACCCAATCCAAAATGTTTTGCATACAGATAATTAAATTTAGGCAATGGCTATCTGTGTTTAGACAGATAAATATGAGTGTGCTGCTCTATATATAGAAGTGTTTACATCTGTATAATATGTGTATATCGCTCAGTAATTACATATTATGAAGGCTCTCTCTTAAAGTCAAAGGAAATTGCAAATTCTCAGAAAACGTATTTTCCCATTATTTCATATGAATCTGTACTAGATTTGTAAAGGCCTTTTACTTCTTGAAGGTACACATCAAGATTTAGAGGACTTCCATGAAAACTGATACTGAGGAAATATTGAGGAATGCTTTATCATTGAAATCACTGTGAAGAAAAAGGCTTGATTTTTCTGAAAATACCTTGGGTGCTTGTGTGCCTACTTAAGTGCTTAAATATCTATTAAAATTCCAATTAAAAATGGGCCTGTGTTTTTGACAGCCGAATTTAAAATGTTGTCACTGAGGTTTTGCAGTTGTATTTAGTGTTTTAAAGATTTTTATTTTCTGTAAATATAATGTTGAATATTAAAAATAACTTTATTAATCTTTTTATTTAAGTTTCATGGCTTTAGGTGTAAATTAGACATAAGCAAGAATTTTCAGTTTTAAAAATACTAGGAATTACTTGCTTTTCAATCTTCCATTCACTTTTCTTGCAATTCTGTGTATTCTGTATATTTTGTTGCAAAAGCTTTATTTGCTAATAATAATACTTTGTTACTGAAGAAAACTGTTTTAAATTTCTAACAGATGCATGATTTTTGAATGGGTATTCTGAAGTTATGTAATTATCATCACATCCTGCATATATTTTCAACTCGTTGTACACCACCACATTTAGGGCTTGTTGCCGAAAAATTTTTGTAATTCAGGAGGGTGCTAGTTATTCACAACTAATTCTGAGCCTCTTTCATGCATATTGAATAGCTCTCCTTCTTACAACCTAGTAGGGTCACTTCTGATGTCAAACAACTGAATCAAATCTCCAAATTTAGAGGTGTTTTCCACTGAGGCTTGTTATACTGAGTTCTCAGCCAGGGCCATGATTCCATCTTCTTTCTCTACCAGGGTCTTGTAAAGTTTGTTCATGTGGTTTATTTGTCTGTTTTGGTGTTTGTGTTTTTTTTTTTAAATGTGTTTTTCTTTTGTTTGTGGGTGTTTGGTGGTTTTTTTGGTCGTTGTTGTCCTTTTTTCTTTTTTGTGGGTGCTTTTTCTTTTTTCCCCTTTCCAGCAAATACAATTTTTCCTACTTTTAGGCATTTAGTTGTGATGGGCATTCTACAGGAGCTAGGTTTGGGGTAAGGGAACTTTGGGAAAATGTGTTTAAAATCTGCTAAAACTTTTTTTTTTTTTTGAAAAGAGATGCATATTATTTGATTTCATTGTGTCAAAGCATTATTTTCCTTAAAGCTACATATCTTCCACTATTTCTGTTGTTTGCTACGCGCCAGTTCTGTTGTCAAAGATCAGCAGAGACTAATAAGAAGATTAAGCTATTTTTTTCGCAGATAAGTTTGCATGCCACCAAGTAGCAAAGCTGCTAATTACCACTGAATGTGTGAAGATACTTTTATTTGATGTATCATGGCCTGGTGTGCATTAATTATGGTACAAGTAGCCTTACCACTGAGGCAGAGAATTAGCATGACAAATGATTTAGATTACAGGGCTACCAAAATACCCTCACAATAAGGCTTTAATACTCAGAGTAAATCAAAATTCGTTAGACTTTTCTGTTGCTAAGTAACTGCCTGAAAAGGTGACTTTGCAGTATAAATGAATATGGACAAGGCTACTATTAGGTGCCATTTAGTTCAAAATTCAGAAATGTTATGTCAACATTAACTCTACCAGATAACTTTATGAAGACCATGTTGCTGGTAAAGGTTATACACATCAGTAAGTGGTACAATTTAAATAGAGTTCATACTGACATAGTTAAATCAGCTAATGGAAAATGAATCAGTCATTGGAAAAATGTGATTCACACATGCAGGCATTGAACTACAGATTTTGTAACAGCTGTTGAATCTGTTGAACTAATGCTCTATCTACCTATTATACTAGCTAAATCACTTGTTAAATAAGATTTATACTACAGAATTCTGATTATTTTTCTTTAATGCAAATATGTATATCTTCTAAAAAATTTAAATATTCATCTCTATGGGAAATGCATATTAACTGGCGAACTTAATGCACACTTCCTTAAATCCATACAGAAATAGAATAATAGGATGATTTAGGTTGGAAAAGACCTTTAAGTTCAGTGAGTACAAAACAATAGACTTTCACCAAATTTCACAATATGAAGTTATATTTTACTGTGGATCTCTTTAATAATATTGTGAAGTATACCTATTATATGTGAATGCTTTGTACTGTGTGGCTGGATATATATGTTGAAATATTCTTTTTAGAGACATTTGAATAGACTTAAAATATCAACAAGAACTCTTGATTGGTAAATGCAAAGTATTTCAGTAAACACATTCAGTGTTGATGTTATGTATACAATTTTTTCCTTCCACCTTTGTAACAATACAGACATAAGCAACTGCTCTTTCAGTCAACAGACATGAGGATATTCTTTCCGTGTTTTTAGAGTAGAATTCTTCTCATTGCTTTCAAGAAAACTGGATAATTGCTATGGATAAAGTACAAAAAAGAGAGTAATTCAGCTTCCTCAGCAGTCAGTGGAAGCCTGAACATTCATTCAATCAAGACCAAATTTTCTCCAATATAGCTTAAAGCTCTTATATATTTGTACATTATTCTCTTACTTTTCATTTGTTTTTTTCATAGATATTGCAGCATCACAATTGAATCAGTAGTTACTGTATCACCTTCAGGTAGGATGGGAGAGATATACCAATACTAAAAGCTGTCATAAATTACTGGAGGTTGCCCGTTAGTAGTAGAACAGAAGTTCCTGGCTTAGTGCAAGAAGCTGTTTTCTGAAAGAAAGGTTTTGATCACCAATAACACTATGTGGTTACTGTAGTCTCATGTGATGTTCTTATTTTGTGTTCTGGACCGCATGCGCAATTTTCCAACTGGAAGGTATTTTGATCCACTGTTCTCTGCTTCAGTATAAATTCACTGGCTTTGTCAATCTTAAGAGGATTTCTACTGCAGTCTGTTTCATTTTCTTCTAGTACTCTAGTAATAATTAGATTAAATAAACTCACCCCATTTTAGGTTGCCTATTTTCTTAGACTGTAGTAGTAAAATGTCTAAGTTGGATCTTTGTTTTCTGTCTTCCTGTAGCTACATAACAAATGTGCTTCTCATCTAAAACCTGAATGTGACTGTGGACCTTTGAAGGACCATATTTTACCACCCACATCAATCTGCCCGGTAGTACTGGTGAGTTGTCCGTGTGTTTATTTCAGATGTAATCCTCTGACATATAGATCATGGCTAAAAGGGTGCTGGGTCTGACTGCCAGAATATTTGTGAAATTCACAGAACTGTGTGAACCTTAAGCACAATGGGTAAACACGGCTGATGAGTTTATAGGCCTAAGCATGCTTTATCCTGTGCATGTTGCATTTTCCTTCATGTGAGAATGAACTTTCTGTAGGGCATATTATAACTGAAGCTGACTCAGGTTTTATCACTTATTCAGACTGTACTTACCAGAAACTGTATAGGCAGAACACTTCTACATTTTACATCTTTTATAGATCCAAGTTCCCAGAATAATGAAGTTATTCTTATGGACAGTTTTTGCTTGGGGTGCATATTGTATATCTGCAGTGCTGAGGTCTCTGATCTAAGCCGGAGGTTACCTAGAATGATGACACTGGTTTTGCAGTAAGCTATGCATCAACATTATGGTATATTTTATTCTGCAGTGGTGGACAGTAAATTTATCTGTCCACAAAAAACAATAACTCAATTCAATGAAAATAGAAATGCTTGGTATGTGTAGGTTGCATAGAGAAGAGCTGACCAGTTTATAATGAAAAAAGAGCTTTGGAATTAACTAAGATATTCGTATATTAAAGTGAATGTTTTATGCTTATGAAAGTCATAGCAGCATCGTATTTAGAACAGATGTGTTGTCTTCTTTAAGTGTACTTCATAATAATGTTTAAGAAATGCTTGAACTTAAGAAAGACTGATTTAGTGCAGGAGGTAAAATAAGGAAATATACCTTCTAATCTTAAGTCTGTTTCTGATAATTAAGAATGATATTCATGTCTATAGTAAGTTACTTTCTTTCTGATTGGGTGCTAGACTTTTGGTTTACTCTGCTTGAGTAAACTGGGACTATTGCATTGCTGTCAATGAACATAAAGCAATGGAAAGCTGGCTTCGTAAGAGTAGTTTTGTAGTTTTTCCCTACTAGTGTTTTTAATATTACCTGGACAAGTTCTAAATAATAATTGTAAAATATTATTTTAAATTTGTTGGATGATTACATTATTTAATTTTCAGGATTTTAATTCATACTTTAAAAGTTAACATGTAGAAATTATGATTTTGTTATTGGACTGTTTTCAGTTTATTGTTATTTATTATTTTCCATTCTCATAAACTGAATAAAGCCCCAGCATGAAATTTCATCTTCAGTTATTTTTCTGTAAACTCATTTTCTTTTCAGGAGAGGAAGAGGGATAGAGGAATTAAGATTTTCATTGCATAATTGGAGTTTAGTTAAGTTTAGTGGATATATAAAACCACTCTAGAGCCAAATCACCCTTGAAGGGGTTTGTTTTATCTGCAAATTTTGAAGGCATAAGCAGAAGTAAATATGTTTTCCTGCATCAGAATCATGTTTCAGTATTGCATACTAATAATGTAACATAAAACATGTATTTCAGCACAAAGTATATTGTTAGGAATGGAAAATATATTTTGCTGTGACTTAATGTGAACTTTATAATTTCATAGTATCTTCATTCGTCTAGAAGTTTCTTCAAAAATGCCTTAAAATCATGAGTATACTTACGTTGCAAATAATACATCGGTGGCTTAGCTAATAGGAATTCTTTCTAGAAACGATTGATTACAGTGTACGTATTATTTGTGTTAGTAATTTTTTAATTAGCTTCTCCCATTTCCTCTTATGGGGATTCCTTTTGAGAAATGTAACACTTTGATGTATGTGAAACCAGCACTCTTGATAATGACTTCAGACAATTTTTGGTTTTGCTTATACAATAGTAAGTGTCTCTGTTAATAGAAATGATTTGTGCAGATGTATAAATCTGATATACCTGACAGTTCAAGAGTCTTTTCACCTAGGACACACACTTAGCTTCAGTGATCAGCTGAGCAGTAATATTCTTGCAATGGTACATACATGTCTAAGATAAAGAAAAGCAGATATCCACAATGCTATACCAGGTGTATCCTCAAGTTTTTTGAGGTATCAGAGCTAAATTTATCTTCATGTCACATAGACTAAGTTTTAGGAGTTGTAGAAAAATAACAAGTTGGAAAATTTTGTACCTTTGGTATCCCAAAAGCTTTAGCTCTCACTTCCATTTGTATTTTTGGAAGCCCAAACTTCCAGGAAACTGTCAAGAGTTTATCTCGGACTAAGATGCCCACTTAAGTTTTCCTTCAAGAGTACAGGCTAAATCCTTTCTTTTCTCCTTTGCAGAACTGAGGACATTCATGTTTTTACCTTTCTCATAAAGCATGTCTCATTTTTTGAATTGTGAATTCCAGCCTCAACTCTTTCTGCAGAGATAAAGAGGTTTTTTTTTCCATAAATTGCATTTCACAGCACCATGGATTACATCAGAGCTACAAAAATGTTCTTTCAGCTGCAATTTGTTTTTTTTTTGTCCATATCCTCTCAGTTTTTACATTTTCTAGGTATCCATTCACATCTAAAATCACTGATGCAACTGTGAAGAATAAATAAAATAACTACCCTTGCAGACTGTAATATCACAAAGGATGACAATTTCTCTTTGCCCTATGCGTAGCCATCTCAGCTCAGGCGAAATTTCTTAAAGTCTCATTCGGAATTTCTTTAGACACAAGAGAGATTCCTCTAAAATACGGTGTCTGGCTTGATCCTCTCCTACTGTCCCCTCTCTTAGAGGCTGGAGAGTGAACCTAGATGCCTGGTCATCTGAAAGCTAAGTGGCTGGTCCCAAGTTAAATAACAGGTCTTTCATCTTCAGAACCGCACAAAATGGAAATTGTCACATGTTATTCCTAAATATAATAAGCTATTTTCTGAGCTGAAAAAGAAACCATGGGGAAATTCATGCAGTTGATACTGTATCATAAAATAATCATATATATGTCTAGATTCAATGTCATATGAAGATTCCTTCTATCTCACTGCAATACTTTGAAATGTTTTAGTAAAATGTAGTCTGTCAATTTTAAAACTAGTCCTTTTTACTTTTCTGTTTACCATATATAAGGCTTGTTATATGGTGAAGTTTTTTTGTTTAAGTTAAATGAGTTCTGTTATAAACTGTGTGCAGATCTCAAGTGGTAGTCTTTTAATAGATGTCAGATACACTTTAATGTTACTCTCTTTTATTTCGGTAACATTTTAATTAATTCATACTGATTGAATAAATGTACATTGAGACTTGTTTCCTAATGAGGGCACATTTAGAGGAAAGGTTTTGCATCATTCTGATATCCTGTGGGTAATTATATTCTAATTATATGGTGGGGGGAAAAGTCTATAACTCAGTCCTGATATTGTTCGTTGGACCCAATTAATTACATGCATATAATGAAAGTTCATGATAAGGTTGACTGGCAGTGAGTTTAAAAATCTTTAGCTCAATTGAGTCCTAGCCTACCAAGAGCACAGAATTAGATCATAACCAGGTTAAAAACTGGGTATTGGAATGAGACGAGCAAGTAGTAAACAAAAAAATGATTGGTCTCTCCTTGCGATACAGCTTCTCTTCCCCCACCCATTTATAAGGCAGAAAGGGAAAAAAATGCTAGCATGCATTTTGGCTTCTTCATTCTGTGCCTTCCTTTACTTTGCTCTGATTATTGATGAGCACATAGGATGTTCTAATTAATATTTATGTTTGTAGAAAAGTAACTAGATTTTTCTATTTCCCTCCAAAATAGGTATAGCTTTGGGTAATGACAAATCAACAAATAGAAGCCTACCATTTAATAAATATCTGTTTATTTTGTAATGTATAATAATTTTGGTCCTTGTATTGTTTATGTGAGTTTTAAATTTATTTTTTTTTTACTTTATTTCTGACATTTGTTTTGGAAACCATAATTTAATTTCTTAATCATGGAATAAAAAGAAAATTATGGAATAAATTTTAAAACATAAGGTACCCTGATTACAATGTGAGTATTACTGTATGGCAGTTATCACTGTCTCCATAGTAACCAGTTTATTTCAAAGGGGGAGGGTCTGGTATAATATTGAAAACAAGTAGTGAAAGAAATAAAATTTAAAATTAGATACATTTAGTTGTGTTCAATTTTCAGCTTCATTATTCAGCATTCTGGGACAAATTGGTCATCATAATAGAAAGTTTAGAACAAATCACTTTTTCTTTTATGAATAAATTTGGCTTTCATCTAGTGAAGATGATTGTAACTTCTTAGGACTAAATCATTTAAGCATGTATTTTATTTATATGAACATAGAATATATATATAGAGAGAATTTGGTATATATGAAATAGAGAGAGGATTTTTATATAAAATTGCACACAAAATATACACCTAATATAAAATACCATCATATGTCATAAACAGCTATGTATTTTGGTGGAGGAAACTGATATATATGATTTGGGGTTTGGGTTGGTTAATAACTAGCTCTATTTAGGTACGTAAAACAATATACATAGCAGATTACAAATGTTTTAGCAAAGAAATTGTCTTGTGCAGCTAAAGAATATATATTATGATCTGTAGCTTCAAACTTTTGTCTAAATAAAGCAAGTGTGTTGAGCTGCTGGCAAAAAGTAGTACAGAGTTAAAGCTGAAAATATTGTACAAGAATTTTCTTTGACTGTCAGTATTTAGAGAGACTAGGTGAAATAGCTAATGGCTGTGTTATAATTGCAGCATAATTCAATAGATATTTTTTGCAGCATCTGATAATATGTTTTACTGATATTTTTTTCCTGTGAGGTAGGTAGATGTTATTCATATAGGAAATCAGAGATACATATAGAAAGAATGGGAATTAGCAGTTGCTGGTTGAAGAATGAGCTTTCATAATCCCTTCTTCAGTTTTTAATCCTAAAATGATTCCTCTGTTTTCATTATAGTAGAGATCAGTTTTAACTCAGTTGAATCCAAGCTCGACATGGAGCACTGAAAATCAGTGCAGTGTGTAAGTGTCTTTAAGAGCAACTGAATTCTTTGAAGCTGAATACTAGCCTTATTCTGAGTTTCTGAACAAAGCTACTACTACAAAAAATTCCAGTTATTTGAATATATTTGTGGGGCAGAGGGGGAGAGGATATTTAAATCTGGTTGTTGAATATCCAGTAATGACATAGCAATTGAAACAGATTTAAAAAATAAAACAATACTCTTTTCATTTGCGTATCATATTGCAGATTCAGTTCTGTGAGAATCTAAACCAGATTTGAGATATAATGGTGTGCTTATCTACACTAAAAGCTTTTTCATTTCTTTCAAGTCAGAAGGAAATTAATAATTGCCCTGGAGGAAAATGTATCTTCCTAACTAATTATCTGTTCGGCAAACACAGTTCAATGTTAAAATAATAAGATGCTGATAAACCGAAATGGCAGACGTTCAATCATTTTAAGTTATATCTAGTTGCCTGCCCACAGCTCATCACTAGTGCCTCTACCTAAGCTTATTTCTTACATCCTTTCTCATAAGTTTTTTACATGTTTTTATTTTCAAAGTTCTTTCCCAACTCCTCTTTTTTTCTTGGGTGGTACGTATTATTGCTGCTATAGCCCAAGTTCATTGGAGGTTGCAAATTAACTTAAAAGTCTTGGGTCCTATTGTTGTTGCATGTTGTTGCAAGTATCACATGGATGCAAGATGTAACGCAACCTATCTTCAAGCAACTAAATGAACTGAGGGCGACACGCTACATGAGGAATGCTTGACTGTAATTTTGATGTGTAATTCTTTACATCTTTATTAAGTCATGTAAAACAAGCAACACAAAGTACATATATATAAAGTTATCATGTAGCCATTCCTTGTTCAGAACAGTCTTGTAGCCAGGTGTTCTAGAAGGTATTCTTAAATGACATTATTTCCATTCCAGAAATGTATTTTTCCATGTATTTTGGCTACTAGTATTAGGGGTGACAAAATACTTACTTCTGATTGACGTAATGTGTTGGGGATGTGTTGGTTTTTTTCTGGTTGGGGATTTTTTGGGGGTTTGTTCCCCCCCCCCCCTTATATGAAAATGTTTCTATCAAGGCAACTCTCAGATAAATCAAAAGGCTTTGTAGTATGGGCATGTGCAAGGTCACCGGGCAGTATTTTTGCTGGCAAACTGGTCAGTAATCTTGTCCACAGGATGACTTTCAGCTTCAGCCCATGGATGTAGAGCTGGGTATTTTGCTACAGCTCTGTGGGCTTTCAAAACAGCATGGTGTGGTGTCCTAATAATATTGGACCTTCTGATTAGTATGTACACAGTGCTAGAGCTGGAAATGTAGGGGTAAATTTTCAAAATATTTTAGCACATTTAGATCATTATATCTAATGTGATGATATGATATCCATAGCTATTACAGACAGATTGCTTCTCAGGGTTTTGGGTTAGTGGTCATGGTTGTTTTGCAGTTTTCAGGGTGTCTCAATCTTTGATTCTCTTTGGTTATTGTATAACTATCAACAGAAATTTCATGGAATAGAATTTTTGTAAGCATGGTCTTGAATAGCATGTAGGTTTACAAAATGACAGCCTAGAAGTACCTATTCTAATACTTCATTACAATTAAAACACAAGTTTTGCATCCATTGGAGATTCCCATGTCATTAATCAAAATAACGATATAGAATCTTGGAGCAGCCTTCCTCCAAGTTCCTTAAAAAAAAACAAATCATCAGTTTGGTATTCAAGTCACATACTTGAACTTTCACTGCTTTCATCCTGCAAACATTTGAGGATACCTTTACACGGTATTTCTTAGGGTTCCATCTGATCTTGTATGACCAAATTCCCCTGTTCAGTATTTTTCAAGTTCAAGTTTCAGTGTTCTAAAATAAAACACATTGTTTAATAGCTGTTTCAGTTTTTCTTTAACCTAGAATTTGGTTCTCTGCTTATGCACTCCTACCCCCAAGTTGGGGTTTTGGGTATATGCTTTATCTGAAGGTATATAGTACAAAAGAAGTAATTACCATATAGAAGTAACCTCAAGTTTTTCGTAGTCACTTGACAAACCATGTGATTCACCATTCATTAATAGCCTTATAATACTATATAACATATAGATAAATTATTGCTAATGGCTAATGATAAATTGTTTTCAAAAATCTCAGATGTATATGAAATAATCCAGAAAACTAGATTTGCACTTATTAATTAAGAGACAGGGTGGGAAAAGGCAGTTTTTGTTACACTGGCACTGGACTCTGTGTCAGCAGTTAAAATGTAAAAAGGTAACTTTAGTAAGCCATTAGTTCCTATTAATCTATTTTTCTAAATACCATTATACAGTATGATATTTCTAAATGTTAGTGTTTTCTGTAAAGACTGTACCTCTATATAAAGAAAGAGTAGACATACTTTTTGAGCATGAATGTTGTACAGCTTATCAACTGCAGTAGAAGAAAGCTTTTTAGATAAGATTTCTCACTTTGGATGAAGATTGAAAGACTTGGCATGTGCAGAGTAATCTTTTCATTTTTTATTCCAAGTATCTCTTTTTACTATTCAAGAGAATAAATTCCTCAGGTATTCTAATATTTTTCACTGATGCTAAAATGATCCCACAGGTACTTCCCAGAATATAAGTTATATAATGCGACAGCAAGAACTTCAGAGGCATACAGTTGTGCAAATATGTAAAGTATGTTTGTTAAGTACAACTGCTGCAGGGTAACATTCCTTGTGAGCGCTCTCTCCATGCCCTTTGCCAAACCAGCTGTTTGGTGTTGCAGCCTAACATTCTCTTTTTCCAACAGGCGCTACCCACTTTAGGAGGTTTGCTCCCTGAGGTGCGTAACAGGAGGCGTCCGTGTACGCACAAATACTAATGGATCATGATGTTGTGCATTCTTCTTCTTGCTATAAAGTGCATTTTGGGGCTGAGCTGAAAATGGAGACATGATATTCTGTGGTATCATTTGAAAGGCCCTTTCTTATTTATCAATTATTTTTTCTTATTTGGATGAATAAGGGATAGATACAATTGAGTAGTTCTTACCTGACAGTGATGTCTCTGGAGCAATACTGTATGGTAGAAACTCCAGATAATGGATATTGACATCAAAGTGGGAATTCAAGGGGAGAAAAGAAGGCATGAGAGGTGCAAAAATGGTTGGGGAAAAAAAATTGTTGTAGTAGTTACTATTTTGGAAGGTATTGTGCTCTGGCACATACTGAAAGAACAGAAAAGCTTGATTCTTTGGGCCATCAAAATGTACAATAGCTTTTAAAATGCTGTATTTAGTATCTGTTTCAACCTCATGCATGTCCACTAAACAAAATGGTTCACAGATACATTAGTCGTTTTGTATGCTTTAATTAACAAGATAGTAAATACAGCAAAAGTGTTGTAGAAACATTTCTAACCTTGAAAAATATTTTTTTCATTTTTTTTAAAACCATTTGTTCAATGCATGTCAAATTTGTCTTAACATTGCTAGAATTTGTAGGTTATTATCCACAGATGATTTTATTAAAGTGTTATTATCTCATTAAAAAATGACACTGTTTAGTTCATGATGCTCTTGGATAGCTTAGTAATGGTATAGTTCCTCAAAGAAAGTTATTTTAACAGTCATGTACAAGTGGCTTAGAAAACCAGCTTTCTATTTCATATATAAAACAAAGTACCTGTGCAAGAATATATGAGAGGTTTTTTTAATGAAATGGTAAATATTTTTATTTTACATCGTTAGATTTATTCAGGAGAATTAAGATACACATTTTTGTATTATTTGATACAAACTGTAACTCAGATCCTCAGTGGTATAACTCATACCTAAAAATTAGAGGATATATAACTCCAGGAAATGCAGAATCTCCTATCAGCTTCTTCAGAAATGGTCAGAGAACAGTATCGGTACATGTGGTGACACATATGTGGTATCATATGCTTATAAGAGTGATTGATACAAAATCAAAAATCATAATTGAAGGAAGTAAACCTTCAATGATGATGAAGTCAGGTATCCATATCTGATTTTTTTGAATAACATTCTAGACATCTCTGTATTATGAGTATACTCTTTCCTTTGTATTTTTTGAGGTGTTTGGCCTAATCTTGTCTAGTCAGTGCTTAGGAGAAGCTGCTTTTGTCTGTCGTTTAAGCAATTGTTTTGCTTATGGAGTAGGTAATACAGATTGGAGAAGGAATGTTGCTAAAGTACCTGTCCTCAGGCCAAGGCTGACTGCCATATGTGTCATGCTGAAACAAAAATACAAATATCCAAACATTTGTTTGAAGCAATTTTTACTGCATTTTGCTTGTGAATGATTGATAACAGTAGGTTTGGGAATTGTGGTAAACATCCTTTATGTAAAGACAGTTCTCAGCAGTGTATAAATACATTTAAGTAGTAGCATCATATATACAAGCAGATTTTCAGTGCCACACTTTATATAAACAGGCCTCTTTTGAGCAGTGGGTTTTTTACCACTCTTAATGTGCAGACTCTGTGCTGGATCTGTTCCTTTTGTACCTTTTACTTTAAACTGTCACAGGTATGTTGTCTAGCTTAACGTTTTTCTGGACTTTAAAATTTTTCTCTCCATCTCTGACTTTTTTTTTTTTTTTTTTAGAAATCAGAGTTTTTTACTAGCTGTGTGACTGCATTAGTGACATATGATTTGATGTTTTGAAGATGTTGCAGTATCCAAGAGCTGGATTTGGCCGTGATACAAAATCTTGTTTAATATGATATACTTACTTACTATAAAATATAGTGACTTTTAAGGGTAGTTATTTGCAAAGTTGCTTAAAACCCCAAAGCTGCTTCTTACATAGATAATGAAGTGTGAAGTTTCCTTCCTACTGAAGTTTCTTACCGACTGTCCTTAGCACTAACCAGTATCATTGTGCGTTAATGTTTTGTGCTAGTTCACAAATGCTATTCTGGTTGGTTGCCTCACCCCAGTTCTGGTTTCTAAAAAAATACCAAATAATAAATGCAGTAAGTGTTTGTGTTTTGGAGGTTAGCACTGAGATGAATAGCTCTAATTGCTTTTACTGTTTGCTGTTTAAAGCAATGATATTGTAGTCTAGGCTCTTGGACCTCCTCTTTAACTGATCAAGTTACTCAAATCATCCAAGAGCCCAGTTAACTAACCTCTTAGGAATCTCAGTGCGTACAGGAAATAGTGTAGACTCCCCTGGTTTCTGTGGCATAGGTTTGTCAGTCCCTTTATAAGAAACGTGATCAGACTGTCACAGCTACCCAAAGCAGCCTGAGATAACTTGGACCACTGTTTGCATCAGGACTCAATTGAAGCTGCGTCAGTCTCCAAATTTAGGGAAACTAAAGATGGTAATAAAACCAGTGATAATCCACATCTGTGTTAGAAGGCTCTATATTAAGCTGGAAGTTGCTGCCTTCCTGCTAGGGAATCTGTGTCAGTGTTTCTTTCTAGTTAAAACTGTGCCAGGAAGAGTGGCATGGATTAATTGCTAGTGCAGTCCCTAAGGCTTTATTAGAGGTAGAACAGAGATGGGTTTGGCCTGGTATGGAACGTAAATGGTAACATTTAATGAAGTGTTTACTGAGTGCAGTTGCAGCGGGTGCAAGTGTCCTTTATGCTCCTTTCTCGTGCAGCAGCTTTGTGCCAGCCCATTCCCCTGAGTAGTTTAAAGCCTCCTTGCACTTGTGATGTGAGGAATGTGGTTGGGGTGCAGTTACAACTGGGGACACTATTGGGGATTTTATTTGATAAACATCTGCTGTCTTAATTCATGGTGCATTTTTGGACAACCTTAAAGGGACATGCTGGGTGCAGTCTATAAATAGGGTAAATGAGATACAAAGAGCAAGGTGGGTTTTTTTTTAATTTTTTTTTTAATTCAGGATTCTCTGAAATGACCCAACAACGTTTGAAAATATTATTACAGCAACAGATTTCTGAGCTTTCCTCTTTCAAATAACTATTTGATTATGCTATATATCAGCATCAGAAGTTGCTAGTGGCTTAGAATCTGATGAAGATTCTGGTTTCCTTCTGGTACAAAATATGTGTTTTATAAAAAGACAGTCAGTTGATTGATACATTTAGAAAAGGTGTATTTTGCCAAAGTGATAAAGTACTCTTGAAGCATCAAACCTTTGCTAGCAGTTAGGATGAAATTTTGGTATATATCTTATGTGCTTATTAAACTATTGAATATATCTTATGATTGATTTCCAAGTTTCAGAATGCCATCTTGGTACTGTCAGATTATCTTTTCACATCATTGCATTAATTTGTGTTGTGACTGCACACTTTTTATCCATCTGTTGCCAGTCATTACAGAATGTCCAGGCACATAGATAGATGTTACATGAAGTAGCCAGACATTCTGTAATAACTTCACTGAGATCTCATTTTCATTAAAGCAGAATCTGACATTTATTTTCTAGTCCAAACACAAATTTATGGAGGCATAGTCTCATGATAGTTGTATAGCATTACATAATGTTAAAATTTTACATTTTCTCCTTTTTCTTCGTTTTTTCAAGGAAAGACAGGCAACAGTGAAAAAAGAAAAGAGTTGCCCCCAGCAAATGAACAAACTGGGAGAGCGGAACAAAATGCAAAGAGCAAATTCTATCACCATTGATGGACAAGGTCTTCAGGTGTGATTATTGTTATTTTGATTTTAAGAGTTAATTGTATGTGTGAAGGCAGTGATAGAGTTAATAATCTTTAAAGTTAAATGTTTCCTATACATTCACTCTTTAATATTTCACTTTTACATATTTAAAAATAAAATAAGTAAATTCTCCTGTCTGTACAGGAATCTTGTGGTGCAAATCTTCATCTCATGTAGTTGGTGCGATTTCCTAATACAATAACTGGAAGGAAAAACTAACTCTAAAACACTTGTATTGTGGGATGAAAGTAAACTCCATTTGTTCAATATCTGTCACATGCCCTTGTGTGAATTTACATTGTAAGTCTCTTTCTTAATAGTTGTTCACTATTCTCATTTAAACTTGTTAAGTAATAGATGGTCAAACTTCAAGGATGTTATTTGTCCAGGTACTTTCAAGTAAGGTATTTGACACATCAAAATTATAAGTGAAGCAAGGTGGTTTCAGTAATAGCAATATCTATAATAAAGAAAGGAGTTTTTCTACTTGAAAGTAAAACTTCTGTGTGATGAGCTAATGTGATTTTAGGGAGGTTACTTGGAGGCATGTCTGAAGAGTTCTGCCTTAACTGCTCAACTTCTTTCCCTTGAGATATGAGTAGTTTTGACTAAAATCAGTGTTCACATGTATGATGCTGGTTCTTTACTTTGTTGTGATAACAATGTGATAATCGTTTAATATACACAGTTGGCTGTTCTGTATCTTCTGATATATTGCAGTTGAGGTTTGGTAAATGTAAAAGATCCCATTACCATGTATCAAATGCTGTATGCTTTATAATCATTTCATTACATACCTTATTGTGTCAGGATAGAAAGGCTTATTTTATTGTTTCATCTTCTTAGGTTAGTGAAACATTCTTGTTACAACCCAAGAAAAAGGAAGGAAAAAAGTCCCCTTAAGAATCTAAATCCTAAAACCTATGCAGTCACGTGGCTGATCCATTGATGGCCTAAGGAGGATGTTATAGAAATCGTTATTCATGGTTCTCAAGGCTCCCCTGTACTTCTCATTCTCACGGACTACATTGCTCTCCAGATCATCTTGACAGAGCATGTGGCAGTAAGGCTAGTGTATTCATTGACAGAAGGCTCAAGTTCTGTCTAATCAGTCACAGTGTGACTAACAAACATGCGCTAAAGAAGCACACAGTTTTCTAACTTTCGGGTGATAATCCATGCAATTCAGTGAGCCCAATGGTTCTAGATAGAGGAGTTACTTTTGGCATGTCCTTTTGGTAGCAGTGCTATGCATCATGAATTTTGGTTTTCTTCCAAGTGTTAGATTGCTAATGCTCATAGTGTATTTTCAGGCATTTTTCAAGTCTCTTATTTTCCACTCATGTGATATACTGCCTGGAATATAGTACCTGGTACGTTAAATGTAGTGAACTCCTAGCATCACTGACTCTGGCACACACAACCTCAAATCATGAAAAATTGTGCTTTCCGGTAATTAGGGGGTAAAATTTTTTATAAGTTTGCTAGTATGGTCCAATATTTAGGTTCTGTCTTCTCTTTCCATGATGAATCCTAAGCCTAGGATTAGTCATGGCTTTTATTTATCATCACTTGAGAAGGGGAGAAAGAAAGTAAGGGCTAAGATGGCAGATTGAATGGATTTGAGATGTTTTCTGAAGTGCTTGGTATTGTTCTGTAGTGCCACATATGCAGTGTAGCACACGATGTTAACACTGGTTATCACGTTAGAAATAGCTCTTCAGTGATTACCCTAATTTACTGATTATACTGTGGTCTTTGTTTTCTTCTGTTGGATAAAATTGGTTTTGAGTAACAGGAGTCCATCTTAGCACCATTACATTTTTGATTGGTAACAATAATGATAACCTGATCATTGTGAAAGCTGAGTGCATCTTGAAGGATACCATAGTGAAAGGCTGGGATCAGTGAGACCGTTAGGTTTTCTTTTCACTCACAGATTGTATGATTTTGAAACTATTTCCATAAAGGTGGAAGATTCCATAAATATAGCTGTAATTAATGTTAGTTTTTTTTTCCTGAAGATGGTCTGGAAGAAAAAAATAATCTGTAGCTGATCAAAATATGTTACTCTAATTCTCCCATATCAGGCCAAAAAATGCTTCTCTGATTCTAGTACTCTGACTTGGCTGCCATGGTCTCATTTTAACATGGTCTTCAGTGAACAAGAAAAGGATATTTGTGACTTTTTTGGAACCTTTTTTTTTTTTTTTTTTTTTTTGGAAAACTTGATTGTTATGTTAATTGCATTTCTTTATGATCTGAGTTCAAAGGAAAAATATCAAAAATGCCCACTAAATCTTCATAGTGCTCCTGTTAGACATCTGCTTTCAATATGGGGCAATCTATATATAGTTAGTCCACCACAGTTTTCTATGGTTCTTTTTTGTACTTTAAGTCTCTTGTCCAATAACTTCATGAAGATTTCCTTTAAATCATGGTAGTTTAAGGCTTAAAAATGTTGGCCAATTTAGTCTAAATCTTTAGTTTCATTGTTTATTATACGGAAACATCTACATTATCTCAAAGAGGGATTTTGAAAAGGTGCAAGAAATTAATTAAAAGGTACCTTATTTTGGAATTGAGTGGAATACAAACTGATTATTATTTTTTTTCTAATGATCCAAAACCTGTAATAATATAGTTAAGTTTTGAAATAAAAGATTTAATGTAGAAATAAGTTCATCATTTAGCTTTTGTTGAGCGAAGTATCAAGGCCAACCTTCCTTCCATCAGACAGCAGTGAGCAGAAAACCTAGTGGCAGTGGAGATCTGCATGACTTAAAGACAATTAATCATAGTTAAACACATTCATCTTACTTCTTTCTAGCTAACCAGCATAATGATCAGGATTATTATTTCTAATTAGAGGAAGTAATAGATCATGTATAACCTTAGGATGAGTCTCATTAATTAACCTTCGTCCTAAGAGATTTCAGTAGGTAGTCCATCTCTGTCACAGTGAGTACCATTGGTTTACACTTAGTTCACAGGAACAAACATCAAGAGAATTGGCTAAATAACTAAAATTGATTAAAACAGTGGATAAAAATTAAATATATGACAAACTTCACTGTATCCTACAATTTGATATATGTTTCAACATACCGCAGTTCACGGTAACAGCATACAGCACTTTGTGGTAACAACATACTGTGATAGAATCTGATACTGGGTTTGTTTTGTGCTAGGTTTAATTACAGAGAGTTTGCTGGAGTTTCTCATTATTTGTTGTATGTACTGGAACAGATCTGGATACCTTGTGTAGTTACAGATTGAGTTGACATAGTCGTGCCTAAGACTTCCTACTATAAATGCTTTTAGGTGCCTGTTGGATGCCTGTTAAGACTCCTTAGCTATCATGTTTCTCAGGTTCTACGTTAAATTACATTTTATGAAATCTTCAGATGAAAAGATTCCGTTATTCCAGGAATCATGAGTAAGGATTTGGAGCAAAAGCTGTCAGTGTATCGTTTTGAAAGAGGGGTAGCCTAAGCTTCATCTCTGAAGTTGTTACGCATGATTTTAGAGATGTTAACTTTGAACTCTTAATATGCTTTTAAACATTCTAGAATTTAGATAAGAAAGTGAAAATTTTAAACATGATTATTCAAGCTTTATGGTTTAAAAACAGGTATTAGCAAGAGGTCATTCGTTGCAGTTGTTTTCATGTTCTTCAATTCTACAGGGCAAAGGCAGTGAACACAGAATATCTGAAAATTCTTTATCACTGTTACTTAGAAGGAGAGTGTTAGTTTGTAAAGCTAAACATTAATATGAATATGTAAAACTTTTAATGTACAAAAGAATTAAAAAAATGTGGTTGAACTGATTGTTTCCTTCAGTATATCCTCCTCTGCATTCTTTTCCTCAAGCTTGCCCTTCTTCCACATGTTTTCGCCTCTACTTTTTTAACTCATTTTTGTTATGGTTGTTGCATTTTTTAAAAAAATATGATTTGATATCAAATATTGCAGATTTCTGTAATTTAAAAAAAAATCCATCAGGCTTAACATTTCATATATCTATTTATAGTATAATGTTATTTCTCACTACAAAATACAGTTTCTTCATAGCTTTTTCCATAGATTACTGTCAGAATCAGTCATGCATTTCTTGCTTTTAAAGTTTTTTTTTCCTCTGTTGTTAGCTGTAACCTATATATATCAATATTTCAGTGGAAATAGAGGTTAAAATAGCATCACAGATGTAAGACAGACAGCATTAAAAAAAAAAGCCACTTGCAATTTGTGGCAAATTAATGAAGTGAGGATTATTGTAAATTATGGAATTGCTTCCAGCTGGATTACATAGGGTAACATAGAGTTTGCATTAAGCTTTTTGTTTTCTGTCTACTATAGGAAAAAATGAATGCAACGCACAGCATTAATGAGTGGCTGTGTTATTCCCTTCTTTTAGATCACTCCAGTTCCAGGCACTCATCCACTTTTAGTTTTTGTCAACCCTAAAAGTGGTGGGAAACAAGGAGAAAGGTAAGGTTTATTTACTGTTTCCACCTCCCCCCCCCCCCCCCCCCCCCCCCGTTCTGATAAATGTGATATATTTTAAAATGAAGTTTAAAAGTTTGTGTACGAAATGGACTCCAACATTTTATATTGTTTTATACTGTTATGTCTCATATTTGATCATCCTATTGTCTTGTTCCAGAAAGGTATACACTAGCATGGAGGTATAAAATCTTCAGTTAAAAGCTAGAATGAGTTATATACAACAGTTTCATTTCACAACAGAAAATGTAGCTATATTCAGTATATGGTTTTGTGTGATTTGCATGGAGATGCAAGTTGCTATATTTTGCATTGCAACTTGAAAGCTTATAACAGTGTTCTTTTAATTTCTGTAATAATTATGCAGATATGCTAATAATAAAAAATGAAAATAGTATTGAATTTTCTAATATGTAACTTGCCTTTCACAGGTTTAGTGAATAGATTCTTCAGCCTCTCTGTAAGACTTCCTACAAAGAAAGCCGTTGATTTTCCATTGATAGAAAGCATTCTAACAATCCAGTAATGGCCATTTTGAGATTGTCACATAAATCCCCAAATCTTTATAGCATGGCTTACCACATCAGTACTGTAATTTATCCTTCAGCTCTTGAAAATGGCTTCAATCTTTTGGCCAAGATCAGGCTGAAGATGACACCTGTGGATACGGGGTAATGTGGGTCCCCAAAAGCACATAAGGAAGGATCCAGTGTGATTGTAAAGCTTGGATCCCAGCAAGTAAAGTGCAAGTAGGACAGCTTTCCCTACCTCTTCCACACTGTCTCTGTTGGATCACTTCTTTCAAACAGTGTCCTTTAAAGTAAACTGACAAAAGGGACAAATCCTGCAGAGTAGATGGTAGGGGAATCCTCAGAGCTAGAGAACATTTAACCAAAACTATTTGAAGACCTCTGAGAGGACAGGTTATCATTTAGGAGCTGGTTATGTAATCCCCGGACTGATACACCTAGATGTCAGCAATGCCAACAACACTAGTTGTGTCAAAGGCAGTTAATGATCTAAAAGAAGTATAGTAGCATAGAATGATTAGGGTTGGAAAGGACCTTAAGATCAGCTAGTTCAATTCCCCGTGCTACGGACAGGGACACTTCCCACTAGACTAGGTCACTCAAGGTGCTGTCCAACCTGGCTGTGAACGCTGCCAGGGATGGAGCATTCACAGCTTCCTTGGGCAATCCTTTCCAGTGCCTCACCACTATCACAGTAAAGAATTTATTCTTGTATCTAACCTATATATTCCCTTTTTGTTTGAGAGAGTCCTATCGGTATGGTCCCTGATGAGGAGTCACTATCCAGCATCGTTGTAGGCCCCCTTCAGATATTGGAAGGCTGCTGTGAGATCTTTACACAGCCTTCTCTCCTCCAGGCTGATCAGCCTCCATTTTCTTAGCCTGTCAAACATATTGCCAAACACCTTTCAATTAATTCTAAAGAGTTTCAGGAGCATGCCTTCACAGTCGCAGCAGAACAATATGAGCCATTCTGAGTGTCCTTATTTCGGACACAGTAGTAGTGTAAGGTAGCCCTGGTCCTCTGTGCAGTCATGGGCATTGTGGAAAGTAATGCACTAGCACTCAGCTTGACTGTTTTTATAGTACTGATATGAAATTAACAGATATGGATCTGGTCTGGAATTATGTAGGTGAGAAGCAGGTTAGGGAGCTGCACTTAGATAGCTATAGACTTGAAACAATTTAATGAAATGTTGTTTCACAGCTTTCCATTCCTAGCTCATAATTGGTCTCAGGTGTTGCTATCTGAATGGGTTTAATGCACAAGGGATATCATGTTAGTTATTCTCCAGAGTAAAAGCAAGCTTAAAACCTGATCCTCTTCCCAAGCTCCTATTCCCATTCACATAGTGCAGTCTGACACTTCTCAGTTTATGTTAATGCAACTGTTACTGAGGCCAAGCAGATCACAGGAATGATTTGAATTTAAAAAATGAATGAATATACGCTTCATGCACTAACACCATTACCTACAAGTGTCATTACACAATGACGCGTATAGCATGAGGACAGCCACCATCAGCTGAGTAAGTGAAGTATGAGAACCTCTTAAATTGGCTTTGATACCACACAAAATAAAATGCTAAATTACATATTGATGTTTCAAGGTTGCACTCAATATTTCTGTGTTAGGAGGAGCGCATCCAAAGGTTAACTTCATAGTCATGTAAACATAACTCAAGTCCTTCACAGGCAGGAGATGATATCTCATGGATCTAAAACCAGATTCAGAAAGGTTTAAAAAAAAGTCCACATGTGGACTATTTGTTGAGAAGGAGTTCACCTTCTGCCTTTTATGTGTTAATATTTTGTATCAATACCAGTAGCATAATAGAATTATAAAATAAGGATGTTGAGTGCATATTAGCACTTGAAGGTTTAATCGAGGGAATGAAAATATTTTCAGGGAATTATAATATTTAGGTTTTCTACTTCTCGTGTTTTTATCTAGCTGCTTTACAGTCAGTAACCAGGAAATGAAGAACCTTGTATTTCCTCTCTCCTGCCTCCAATGTTGTGCAGTATATGTTGTTAAAAGTAAAATCACAGGACATTTTCAGACCTAAATAGCTTTGCAAATTTGCAAAAAGGTGGTTCAAGTCAGGCTTTTTGATTATAGCAATTTTGTAATCTGGTCAGATATGGAGAGGCCAGGAGTAGAGGATAGGCTTATCTTACAAAGTAAGATTTCCAAAGCAACGAGCAGGAGAAAAAATCAAAACCACAACCTACTAATTTTTACAGATGAGAATTTCATTATCTTGACTTATTCAGATTAAGGTGATCTTTTACTGAAAGCTGTTCTTCAGTTTTACTTAGTATTTTCTGCATTTGAGAGATCACGATGAGTGACGTTATGATTTCTAATTGACTTTCATTGAAGACAGAAAGGTTATTTCAGATACTGTCAAGACTCTAGTGTTCCCACAGTTCCCTGTATGAGATTTTATGCCTTGCCATATGCTAACCCAGCCCATTTCATTGCCCTTAGACTTAGAAAGAGTGAATGCCTCCATCTGACAACCAGTTGAATAAATACACTCCCCAATAATACTTTGTAATTTCCTTTTGCTTTTTGTGTTTTTTTTTTTTTTTTCCAATCTGTCAAATGCAAGGGAAAAGAACTGAGCATCACTTTAACATAATAAAAGTTAGCTGTTTTAGGTTAGGTTTTCAAATGTTGGAACAGAGTGGTGCTGGTAATCATATGGATATATAGAAAAAGTGCATTCAGAACACAAAAATAATTTCTCTACAACCATATCTAATGAATAACCTTACCGATACAGATAAAACTTCTTTTCTTTCAGAAAGCCAGAGTTTTTGCAAAATGTATAGTGAAAAATATCTTCTTCTTGAATAGGTTTTTCTTTCAAAACTCAATGGAGTGATTTTCAGATATTATTGAAAAAGAAGCCAGTTATACTTTCTTCTTAATGGAGAGATTAATACCTGTTGCCCATCACCTGAAACATAAAAGCATTTACAGTTACTCAGATTTAAATGATTTAGTCCAAGGGGTAATAGGTATAATAAAATAGAACAAAAATATAATTCAGTGTTTATTAGAAAGCAAGGAGCAAATTAAAATTAAACTTGAATTTAAGGCTTTAACACAGCAAAAATAGATTTTAATCATGCATGAGATTGGATAGGAGTTCAGCAAACCCAGTCAAGTGTCCTCCTCAGGCTGTATCACACAGTTTTCATGATTGTGCAAAAAATGGACAGGTGTGGCTAATTTCATCAGAAAAAAATTGCAGTATGTCCATATCATCCTGTGTCTAACAGTCCTGTATGTCTCCATGTAAGATCTGACTAATTAAGACAGTAGCTTTCAATAATCTGTGAATAGAATATATGTATTTAGTACATCACTGGCAAAACAGTTTCTTTCAACAGAAAGAATATAATACAAGAAGCGTGTAGTGCTTCTAAAGAATGTTGTTAAGGGTAATAATGTTTCTCACATAAGAATCCTTCTAAATCATGCTGCTGTTTTGCCATACTCATTACTTTGTTTTCTATTTCCAATTTATTTGCCTGACCAGCAGGTGAGTTTAAACAATTGTTTCCTTGACAAGTGTGCGGTTGGATGCACTGCAATCAGGTTCCGTACGCTGACGTTTCCTGCTGACTCCACGTTCAGTGTCTGTGCAGTACAGGTTGATATCTTTGACCTTTGTTGTTTTCAAATAACTTTGGTGCACTCAAGGGTATTTTCTTCAGCAGCAGTGCTGTTTAAGGGTAATCCCAGCCCTCTTGGGCACTCCTGCTGTAATTTTCTCCCTCCTCAGTTAGTGCATCTATTTTGAGGTTCATATGAGATCATAAACATGATTTAAGTGGAGGGAAAAAATTACAGTGGAGAAATTTTTCTGAGGATTTGTATTTTCAGTTGTCTGTTCAATTTTCCAGATCACAGAATAACCCTGCCAGTGGTTACAGAAGCACAACAGTTAACTGTGTTAACAAATAAACTGTGTTGTGGGGAAGGAACCAGCTGGAGGTGGTGGTGACAAGTGGTAATTTCATGAACTGTATTTGTGAAATTGCACCTCCATCACAAAAAGCTGTCTTCTGGGGCATTAGCTGATACACTGCCTCCTGGCTTTGTCAGCACAAATAATCCAGTGACAAGGGACCTATGTCCAGATCCTTCCTGACACACAGAGGCAAGATGTTCAGAGACATGTCAGTATCAGTAGGCTGGTCAGAACTAGGTATAAAACTGAAAGGCTAAATTAATGTCCATTTCCTTGTCTTGCATGTGTCACACTTATGTCTAGTTACAGTTTAGTGTGAAGGCAAATGTTTATAGAATGTTTCTTCCTTTATTTTTTTTTTTGAGAACATATGACTGAAAAGGAACCATCAATTTACTCATTTTTTACAGACTGACATGCATAAATCTATTATGATGACCTAAAGCATGATGGGTCATTGCAATGAGACTTTCAGATTGATTATCTGGTATTGATGTTCCACTAGTACCTATGAATGGTATGCACTTAATCAAGTATGACTCAATGTCATCTATTCATTACTGTAGGTGGACTTAATAGGTTTTGACTAGAGATGCCTAGCTCTCTCTTTATTAACAAGGCTTTCATAGCATTTCACTGATACCTGGCAACAGTATTGTGAGTGTAGGTAATGACTAGTATGGCTTGTAGCACCACACTTTTAGGCAGATAACTCTTAAGCCTTTAGAACTTTGTAACAATACTGTTCATGAGCTTCTTTATGGTCAGCTACACAAATCACATTAGCTACGCTTTTGACCAGTTTAAATCCTATATGTCACCGAGAAGCAACTTACACATACTAACTAGAAAATTAAAAATAGGATCCTTTACCTTAGTAAGATGTTGCAAAAGAAGTTGAAATACACTGTGTTGTAATTCCGCTGTCAAACATCTGACTTAGTCGTCATCAATCACAGCTGTTGACAGTGATGTGTGCATACTTACGAAGTGAAACTACTCATTTCCCCTTGACTTTTTCTGTCAGGAATAGCATCAGGAATAGATTGTGTGAGTGTGGTTGAATTTAATTCTTTATAAAAAAAAGAAACTGATGTGGCTAAATAATTGAGAAGTTAAGAAAATATTCAAATTTAGCTATTTTAGAGATAATTATAAATTTGTTTGCATTCAGTATTACACCCTTCCATAAGGGTGGACAAGGGTACTTCCACAAGGAAGAGAAGGGACAGCCTAATAAATTATGCATTGCTATTAAGAAAATAAAATTTAAAAAATCCCTCAGTGTGCAGTTGTGTCTAGATAGTTCTGTTTTGCTGAATTTGAAAACGTGGAAATTTTAACTTAAAATTCAGCTCTTATTATGCTTCTGTTTTATTTAAGGCAGTAAAAAGGAATAAAAAATTCAATGGAAAAATAAATGCTTTCTTGAAAGCATTAAAAATATTAATTAGCTTGAGGACATAAACATTAAAATAAAAAGCATGAAACAGAAGGTTTATAGTTCAAACTATTGCCACAGATCCCAGGTATATAGTTTTCCATTCTGAGCTCCGACTCTTTCATGTGCTTACTTGTTTCTACAAAAGAGATGAAACAGCTACCACATTTTAGTCAAGGTAGGAAATCAGATTTCTAGTATTTATAATGAAGAAAAATGTCATACTTTTTATAAATACAGTTTTTAAGCTACTCTGCCATTTAAGGAAATATTTGCTGGGGGTGGAACAGCAACTGGGGTCTTTTCTGGGGTGAGGAATGCTTTTCATGCTGTATCAATAAATTGCTTCCTAATTATTCAGAAAAAAAATATGTGTAATTTAAATAAAACAATGGCTTTGAATCTTGTTCATTTTCTTCACATTCAGATATAATCCAAAGAAGATATATTTGACAATAGATTCGCTTTCTCAGAGTATTATTCAGCCTATAGGGACATTTTTGGTGGGTGGCAAAGCCAATTTGCTTTTTCAATTAATTATACTTTTTTATTTTATATTAGCAATGAATTTCAGGAATAAATCTCTCCTTTATCATGAAGTTACTTTAACAGAAACCAGTGTGCTTTTCCAAATGTGTTTTTGACTCGTGTTTTCTTGTCTCGTTATACTTCCTTATCCTATTTTTTTTCTATCTATACAACATTTGAATTGTATGTAGCTTGTAGCCCTTCTCAGTTTTATGCACACAGTACACCGTATGTGTGAATTACAGTTGCTGTGTTCAAATATTTTATTTTTTGTATGAGATCCTGCATTTTGAATAATTATAGTATGTGTTGACTTCTTTACTTCTTTCAATTGATAGGTTATTAAAAAATTCCAGACATGTAAGTGAATATTTTCTCTTTGTCTCTTTTACCTCTTCAGAATTTATAGAAAATTTCAGTACCTTTTAAATCCTCGTCAAGTTTATAGTCTTTCTGGAAATGGACCAATGCCAGGGTAAGTCTACAGTTAATATTATTACCAGGAACTCATTTAATAAAATGCTACATAATCAGATGAACAGACTGAGGCAGATATAGCATCTTTTGAATGTATCAACACTAAAGACCTCTGGATGGCTGCAGAAATTTGCAGGTGCTATTTGTTTAGATGTACAAATAAAACTGTATATCACATATTTTACTGATAACCATGCAGTACTGTATAAGAAGTGTGGGATAAATTTCATTCTATTTGTAGCTTTTACTGCTCTATCAGCAACCTGCGTTCACGTGGGGGTTAATTTTACGTTACAAATGCCAAGCAGCTTCAGAGACTGACCTGCAGGACTTACATATGTGCACATATGTGTTTGTGTAGAAGAAATGTATCTGTGTAAATATATATATATATGTATAGGATACATATATATATTCTAATGTATGTCAGAAAATGTAATTTCAGATCATAGTGGCTGCACACTCATGAATAATTTGGGGGACGAAGTGAGCAGAAAATGACTGAACAGGCTAGATTATGCTGGCAGTGACTTTCTGTGGGGACTGGCGTGTTCATTGACCCAGGTTGTGGTGCCGTCACTTGTCTAATATGCTTCTTCCATGAGTCTTCCATTCATGTAAAGACAGGACAATTGCAGTATATCAAATACTGACTTCTGCCACCTGAAATTGTCACCTTTTTAAGTAGTGGGTGCTTTAGTAGAAGGAAACGCATACCAGCGCTGAACATCTGCTCTGTGTATCATTTTGTGTATATTGGGTGTTATTTAGTTATGTCACTGATGAGTGAAATTCTACATCAGTGAGAAGAGTTGCAGAAGGATATAAGGAGATACATGTTCACTGACATGAAGTTTACACTGTTGGTTTGGTTTTGGTTTTTTGTTTGGTTTTTTTGTTTGTTTTGGTGGGGTTTTCTTTGGTTTGGTTTGGTTGAGGATTTTTTTGTGGTTTTTTTTTTTTCTGTTTGCTTGTTGGTTCTTTAGTTGTTTGTTGGTTTTTGGTTTTTTGTTTTGTTTTTTTTATCTTAGGAGTTTTTATTTGTTTAGCTTTCTGTTTAACTTGGAGGAGAATAAGATCAAGGTGAGAATATATGTGGTTTGTGCCTTGCAAAGTTATATTTCATTTGTCACAGATACATTACTGGAAGGAGCATGATCTGACAGTTTCTGCCAGCACTTCTGGTTTAAACGCCAAATATACAGGAAGCTATTCTCTCTTAAAACCATTCTGCATCAGCTGTCCTTCGGGTTAGACTTCAGAGGTGTATAGCATTGATGAAAGTGAAAAGCAGATTGGATCCAATCAGTTTTGAAGTTGTGATTCTCCAAATGTTTTGCACTGCAGTGTGGCTAATATGCAACCTGCAGAATGGTGCAAAACCTGCTCAAAAAAAAAATTAAATAATGACATGCATGATTTTTTTCATGTCTGTAATTTTATGCTGTACATGAATGTTAGTGCTGTTTTATTACTCAAATGGTATTTATTGTTTGTGTTTTGTTATACTAGTTTTAACACATGGAAAATTTAAGTAATCTTAGTCCAAAGAGTAAGACAAGAAAAATTGCAGAAACTTATTTCAGAAATTTATAAGAAATTTTAACTGAGACAAAGCTGGTAACCAATGTTGTTTTACATATGGTATAATAGAAATGTCACACTAGAGGCTGAGAGGATGAATTTTAAAAGAACTCTAACTATTCTATGATTCTGTTTTTGTTTAAATTCGTTATGTATCTTGTGTGTACAGGAAAATGTATTTTAAGGCAGAAGCACAAGAGGGCAGTGTTAAGTTCAAACTGAAACCACGTTTAAACTTTAGTCTTTCGAACCAGGATGGTGTTTTTTAGAAAATATTTTCAATTTCTCTTTCTATTAGGAATCAAAATAGTTTTAGTTGGGGGTCACTTTGAAGAAGTTTCTAATTAATTTTCAAACACACACTGCATTTTGTTAAGCTTGTTGTCATACTACAGAAATGAGTACTCCTAAATTTCCAGTTTATCTCCAGCCATCACTTCTTGTCCCTGCCAGTACTATGTAGTCTGCATATAATTTGTCCCTAAAGCAAGCTATTGAATAAACTCTGCATTTCACTTACCAGTCATGTTTCCCTTTGTGCGAGGGCTGGATTGCCTAAGAAAATGTGCCCATCCATCCATCTGTCCACTCACTCATCCATCTCTGTAATGCCAGTTATACTGGATTGTCAATCAAAATGTTACATTTGTTGAATATTGTCATATGTGTCATTTAGATCAAAATGGAACAGAGTGGGGTATTGTACAGCAGAGAAAAACGAAAAAAGTATTCATCATGGCAGCTGCTGTTATTTAGTGAAAAGGGATAAGCATAATGTATATTTATTTTAGAGCATTTATGATTATTGTAATAGATTTTAATTGAGTATTTTGAGTGGTTTTTTTTTTCTTTTAAATACTAATTTCAGACATGTTCACTCAACCTATAGAATGTTTATAGTATTAGGGTACAATTTGCTTGTTTTGGTAGAGCCAACTTGTGTCCTTTAACCCACAAGTATTTTATTTATGATGGTAAGTTTCTGATAAGCTGCTGTCATCAACCAAGGAAATATTAATGAGCTTTTCTAACTTGGATTCCAAATATCTGGGACTAACATGGATTAGTATTTCCAGTTCATTTCTTTTGAAAATCTAAATATCTCCCTTATAGATAATAGGGAGAAAGACCAGAGAACTCGGAGACCAGTAAAAGCCTAAATCTTAGGGGGGACTGTAAAGCCACTGTATTTTTTTTACAAAAACTCAACAGCTCAATCACTTGGTTTTTCATTCTTCCTCTTCAGTGGGATAACCATGTTCTTTCATAGAAGGGGAGTAAAGGGCTTCTTAAACTACCTTAGCTGAAACAGGGTTCAAATAATCTTTCTTCAGAGGAAGAAGGGCCATTTTTGATTTTTTTTGAAATATGGAAATAATAAATTTTATTTTCCTTTTCAATCTTAAAAAACCCAAGCAAACAACAAAAAAACCATGACACCCCCTCCCCCCCCAAAAAAAAACCAAACCCACCAACAACAAAAAACTCAAACCAAAACAGCAAAACAAACAAAACCCATACAGAACTCCAAACTTTCTTAATATCAGGGGATTGGGGTTAGTTTTATAAAAATACTAGTGTGTAGCAGAATAATAGAAAATATTTTTTAACAAGTTGGCAATAAATTCATTTTTGCTATCTGAACGTGCAACTGGATGTGTCACTGACTTTTATAATAGATGGGATGGCACTTGTAGAGCTGCAGGGGCACCAACAAAGACATTCCTTGTAGCTTTTTAGAATCCCCAAGGTGAGGTTTTTGGAGGTCTTTATGTCAAGCCTCAGATATATAATCGCTATGAAAATATGTACACGATGCAAATAAATTGCTTGGGAGCCGACTGTCTGATTCCTTTCCAACAACTGAAACTGACCTGCTCTGAAGCCCCAAAATCAAGGAGCTCTCAGCCAAAGGACAACAGTACACTTTAAACTGTGGTATAATAATTAATGGTTTAGGCATCCTTTATCTGTAGAGAGATGTGAGTGAGCTGGAGAAACTCTGTATGTTCTGCCGCTGAACAGGCATAAAAGGTACTCCACACTTCCAGGCTGCCAGAGTTAACAAAGTGACTTGAAAATTGCCAGTCTGATACATTGTGTAATTTGTGCCTAGCACCTGTGTTTTTTGCCTTGAAAAGAGTTTCCCTGTTTGGTTGTTACATCTCTATGGGAGTCTTCTACTTCTGACAACAACTGTTATTGTGGATTTAATGATTTTGAAGAATCTGAAATTCAGTTATTGTTCACCTCACAGAGAGGTAAATAATAGCTGGATGAATAGCAGTCAAGCCACAGACCCACATGACTCTGTGGAGAGGTCACCGTTTCACAGAGGCTTTGTCCTTCTGAAAAGGCTCCTGTTCCCTTAAGTCTGTTATTTAAAATGTCTAATTTAGGTTATTTTTATACTGTATAATAGAAATTATATCTACAAAAGTTGTATTTCTTGGTAACTCCCTTAAGCATTTAATTTGGAGAGCATGTGCTTTTTAAATTCTATTCACAAGTTTACCTCAACAGGCCTTTTTAAATCTTAAATTCTGCCCACTTAAGATGCCCAAGACAGCCGGACTGCATCCCTACAACTTACTCTGTAATTTAGTCGGGAATCTACGGCACCTGGGCCTTTCTAATTTCACAAAGCAATAGGCCTATTTTGAAAATTACACTGTTTTTCCTAACTATTGGACTTGATTGCTAAAGCTTTTTTTTTTTTTTTTTTTCTTTTGGACGTTTGGAATATCCAGAGTATTCTGGGAAGACATATACATCAGAAATATTTTTAGAAGCTAATAACTGCATAGTTATTGTCTTCTGAACAAAACCTTGAGGCTAGTCTGTATTTCTTTGGACAGATTACATTTTTTGCCAAAAAATGGCAAAGCAAGTTGGTTGTGCTCTAATGATTAAGATAACCGTTGTGCACTATGAAGCAGTAGTGCTCAGTTTTCACATGTGGGACTTAAACTTTGGGTTTAGAGATACATTTTAAACATCTGTTAAACAATACTTTTATGTCATTGTATGACATCTATGGTGTTTGCTGCATGCATAGCACAATCTTGTAAATACCACCTATTTCCACTCCTTTCTTTCTCTAGACTTCCAAAGTGGTAAGCCTGATTGGTTCAGTTCTCTCTTAACCATTGTAATTGTTCAGCCTTTGTCAGAAAGCTGTTTTAAAAGCCTCTGCCTTGTCCTTTGGCCTTAATAGTTTGCTCTTCTCTCATTCTTGAACGGGTTCTCTTTTCTTGGTCACCCAAAAATAAGCTATTGACTATTACAGTCACTTGTCAACATATGATATCCAGCATCTACTCCACCCACTACCCAGCATATATTGATTCACTTTTCCCACAAATGCTTCTTTGTTTCTCCTTCTGACTGTCATATATCTCTCCGAAATCTGCA